TCCCCATTGGTCATGTTTTCTAAATTGCTTTCATTTTTGTTGCACTTCCGTGGATTTTCTCTGTTGTCAATGTAACTTGTGAACAGTGATGCCAAAACCAGCCATCAGTTCTCTTGCTGAGACTTTGTACACACTGCATAGATGGCCTCTGGACCCAGATCCTGCTGCTAAGACATCCCAGAACGGTGCTTTATGTTTTGGCCAGCTTCATCCCAGTGTTGGCCACACTCTACCTTTGGCCTTCTCCACCCTGCAGTGCTGGTGTCTGCTAGGTATTCTTCTTTGTGCTTGTATATTTGACATTTGCTACCTAAGTATAGAACACATTTTTGATATTAAACACAAAAAACTCCTTCAGCTGAGTGAGAATTTTGAATACAGAGGCACTACATGTTCTGGCTGAGGATATGGATCTGGTTCAGTGAATTGCCTTGAGACCCTCTTAGTGCAGTAGAGGACTTCTATTATCAATCTTAAATATGTGTATATTGCTTCACATTTTTGGGGAAAAAACCAACAAACCAGCAACTTGATTTCATAATTTTAAAATTATGCTTTATTTTCTTTTTCTTTTTTCTTTTCCTTAGCAATGAGCACTTTATTCTGTCTTTAATTATCAAAACTTTATTGAAAACATCAAGAGTTACATGAAGATACACTTGACCTGGAGTGAAGTATCAGGAGTTTTTAAACATTTAACTTATAGTGTATATTAGTACGAAACTAAGTTGAGCAGAACCCATTAATGTCACAGTGGTCGGTTACCAATGGAAATAAATAATTCATGATGAAGGGAATTAGTCTAATTAGCAGGCAGTTTGAGTCCTTTGATAAAACCCAGCTCTAATTCCGTGAAGGGCAGGAAGTGCTGTCATCAGTCAGCCCTGAAAAGATTAGCATCTATTATGAATGAGGTTAGACACCCTAGTGAAGTCATGTGTGTCCTGGAGACAAACTTAATATGTTCCAGAATGGGACACAGTTTGTCTCACCAACACATCATGATTCCTACTGGGCTATTGTATGTAATAACAAGCAAAGATCAGTGCTCCTTCCTATCATTCTCCCCTTGTCCATCATTCTGACAACTGTGCAAATACATTTTCCATGCAAAGCAGGGAATGTGCCCTGAATACTTGTAAAATTGCACGAGATGTCAAATAAAATGTATTACCTTTTCTCAGCAACCTAAAACCAAACAAACCAAAATACCACTGCAGAAAGAGGTATGAAAACACATCTGATAAATATATGGGGTGTAGAGGAAGGTGTATCAGTTTAGAAGTACATTGATTCCATTTGAAAACATTATTGCCATCTGTCACAAGATGTGTCAATAAAGCTATAGATGTAGGTCTGTGTGATAGACAGGTTTTAAAATAACTGGTGATGCTATAAGGTTATAGAATTGGATGGAGAGTAATGTTCTGCAAAATTGCCTTAAATTCTGGAAGTATAGGCTCAAAAAAAAAGGGAGAAGCTTCTCTGTGTTATGTATTTCATTTAGAAATGTTAACTGCTCCATTTGAGGAGACTAGCTGTGAGCTGTGCAAGCTTCACAGTTTTGTGCTACATGCTGACGCAACATCAGCTGTGTTTCCATTTTTGCTTATAAGCCTTTTGAAATTATATGTTTCCGTTTTGCAATTTGATGCAATAATGAAGAAACTCCACATTTGTACGTTATTGTATTGCCTGTTTTTATTGTAGGAAATTAATTGCTTCTTTTATTTATGTTATTAAGGGGGGGAGAAAACAATTTTGCAGTATTTTATCATTTGCTGTAATAATTATCCTACTAGTAATACAACGGAAGACTTAGAAACAGTATATTATGTTCAAATGTCTGAACAGTACTTAAGATGTTGACACTTGTGGCTGGGGAATGTTGGTCTTCAAGTTATATTGAAAAAGGTAACAATAAGTGATTAATAATACCCCTGACAAGCTTAAGATGATTTATAATACAGAAATGAAGAGGAAAGGAATAAGTGTAGTCAGCACGAGAAATTATTTTCATAGAAGCAGAACAGCTTAGCAGCTCTGCTGGTCCAAATACTAATTGACAATGAAGCACTGATATTGCAGAGAGTGCCAGAATCAAGTGCTACACTAGCTTCAAGTAGATTCCTAGATGACATTAAAAAATAGTGATCTTCTCTGTAGGGTTTCTTGCTCTGAGTTCCTTGAAGAAGGAATGTACAAAAGGTAGTCAATCTTTATTTGTTCATTTTTGTCTTGAATTCACTGGCTAATAAAAGTCAGAACAAAATTCAGTGGCATGAACATTTTTGGGTTTTGATTCTTTGATCTCCGTGTACATCTTAAAAATTATCTGTAGTGTGGGTGTGCCCTGGGCTGAGAAATGGGTTCATTCAGCTTACTGAAATTGATTTATTTATATATTATGTGTGGACAGGTGCATACAATAAGCACTGTTTTTATCCCTGTGTTGGTAGGGACATGGTGTTTGGATGCAGAAAGTTTTTATATTCTAGAAAACTTGCAGTATTAGGTACCAGTTCAGGAAAGTAACCACATGTACCCTGCAGTCACATAAAACAATTGGAATAAACAGGCAGAAGATTGTAAGTAAAAAAAAAATATTTTGTCAAGTCTCTTGAAGTCATTAAGTGGCCACTTAGCTTTGGCTATTGTAACAGAATACAGGAACTTCTTGCATAATTTATGGATATGTGTTAAGTTTTCCACGGGGTTTACAGACTGGCTAGTACGCTTTTTTCAGGTTCAAAATGCTGTTGAGTATAAACATAAGAATATATTAAGACATTATTTTTTCCATAGATGCCAACAGACACCCACCCAGGTCTTACCTTGCTAGTATCCACCAGAGAGAGAAGTAGAGCAATGAATTTATTCTTCCAAAACCTCTCCTGTCCCTTTGTGTCTTGTCTAAGGAAAGCTGAAGTGGCCCAGCATAGATACTTTGCTTTCCTATCTGTGTGATATACATTTCATCATCTGTTGTTTTTCACATATCATTCCCTTCAGAATTTGTCGGGTAGAGCACAAGGACTGGGGAGGGTCAGTGACCAAAGGCTGTTTCCATCCAGCTTTCCTCTGTAGCTCTGTGTGAGGCTTCCACCAGGCAATGTGTGGCCTGGTACCCGTGGGCCTGAGTCACAGCATGGCAGAACGGTTTGGCTTGAAGACATCTTTAAAAATCATCTAGTGCAGCTCCCCTGCAACAAGCAGGAATGTCTTCAACTAGATTAGGTCACCATAGACTACTTTACTTCTGCTGAATCCAGCCCTTCCAGTAAATAAATCACAAGTAGTTACACAGCTCAGTATATACCAGCTCAGGTACACAGAATGTGCCCACTGAAGAAAGATACATGCTCCAAGTGTTATCAGAGGACAAATTCTTAATCTGTTCATTTTCTTTGAAAGATGTATTTAGACAGTACTCTATTCATATTTTCTGATTACTTTGCTTTCAGTAAGTGACACTGGAAAATGGATGACAGCACAGCATTTCTGATTCTTATAGTGTACTTATTTTGCTATGTTCCTGTGGCAATGTCCATGTTCTTATCTGGAACAGATGGATTCACTTTGTCAGTAAGGAAAACTTGGGAGGTCACAGTAGTTCCCACATCATGGGACAAAGAGGGCACATGCCTCAGACAGCCATGGATCCGTTCTTTCACATTTTACTGAAAAGGTGAATTCTGCAAGACTTAGCTATTTTAAAAAACAGAAAGCTGATGGAAGTTTTCTTTACTGAGGTACTCTTTATCTCAGCAGCTGTCTCACCTGTCCCCTCATCAAGACATCCTTATGGGATATCATCCATTAATCAATTCCTCTCCTTCCTGCTATTTTGTTACAGGTGTTTACGTGTCATCCTGTGTCTCTATTGTCCTTATTGTTCTCACCCTCCCACAACAGCAATACAGCAAGATACTGCGGCAAAGGACACATCAGCCACGTTCACAACTAAACCTATGGCATGCTGAATCCTTTTCAAGGTTTACAAAAGTGTGTGTAACAGCCCTGTGTATTCTCATTAATGATCACATTTTTAATCTGCATGTTTTATTCAGGGGCCCATATCACACATATCAGTGTGAACCATCTCTTTTGTAAATAAAGGACTGTTTAGATCTTGTAAACATTAACAAGGAACTAAAATTGTTCTGATTAATGTAACATATTGGTGAAATGTTCATTTTCAGGTATGTCTTTGATTCATGATTCTTATAATATACTATGCTATCTAAAAAAACAGCTGTCCGTTGTCCCCATCTCAGATCACCTGATGTTCTCAATTTCCTTGTAAGAACATTAGATATCTGCTACATCTACTGAACAGAAACATGAGCAGAAAAATGTATGGCCCTCAGTTTCCTAATTCACCACGAAGTTAAATTTTGGGGGGTTTATTCTGCTAATAATGTGCATTCAGGTGCAGCAACTCTCACTCAGACAAGCTTTTTCTGTATTTAGATCTACTAGATGATTGTTCTAGGTATTTTCCAACTAAAATATTCTATGCTAGAGCAATGAAGTATAACAGAGAAAGAAAAAAAGACACAGACTGAAGGAATACCATATTACACTGGTTTTAATATGTTTATCGGAATCAAACCCACCAAAGTTTACTTTGATTTAGAGAAACTGGATAGAAAGGGACTTCAGTAAGGTTGCAGGAATTTTCATCAGGAAAGTATTAAATTCTCAGGGCATTACTGAGCATATAGCAGCATGACAGGCAGGAGAAGGGACCATGGAGGTTAGTATTGCAGCAACACCGATAAAACTGCAATGTGAAGTCAGTGACATACACTGAAGGAGATATCTTGAGCCCTTTATAAAGAAGCTGGACCTTGAGATAGGTAGAAAAATGGGTAGGCAGGAGTCTTTGAAAAATTACTGGGAAATAATACTTGTCTATTACAGGCAAGTGAACTTTTCACTGCCTTAGTTCTAACTGGTTGTCCTCCATATTCTGTCTGTCATCCATGGGTTTGCAGGTGAAAAATGCAATTCATACTCCACCTCTCTGTATGAACCCAATCCAGAGGGAACATTTTGGGACCATTTCCTGTTTTTTGGGCAGAATAGAAGCCATGGTTAAATGAAGAGAGAAATGTGGCCACCCTTCCTGACCCAAGAAGAAGAAACAGGTTTGTCTTTAGTTTAACAGCCCAAGATATTCCTAAATCAAGTTTGCAGTCCCAATCAATGGGGGAGATTCTTGCTCATCCATCAAGGTGAAATCTGATGTAAGTAGCCACAGTCAATTAAACTCTCATGCAAAGGTTTGAATTAAATAATCTTTTATATTTATTTGCAGATAACTGTCTGACTTTCTGGGTTTTGGGTTTTTTTTCCATTTTTTCAGCTCCAGCTCTTTCCCTGACAATGCCTCAGGCCCCATTCTCTGCTGCTTGCTGCTTTTCTGCAGACTCACAGCATCACCTGGAACCTGCTGAGAGTGCCACCGAATGAAGGAGCAGCGAGAACGCACTGGTGAGATGATATCCATCAAGAAATGAAAAGAATAGGATTTGGTGCTTACAGCTGAACTCTAATCCTGCATGACTCCCTTATATATGCAGCCTCTGTTATACAGAGCACACTGCAGTGTTTTGACAGAACTCTGTTGACATTACCTCCAAACTGAGTAGAAATGTGACCTTCTCCTTTAGCACAAATTATATTAATGAAAAATGTGTTTTACTGATGCACCAAAAATTTGAAGCTAACAAACCTTCTCTGAGCAGCGTACTGTAACTTCTCTTCCATAATTAAACCAGAACCCCTCTCCTGGACAGGTTCACTCAGCTTTGCCTTTCTTTGAGTAATACACCTTCAGACCAGTGCCTTGTTTTGATGTATTACAATGATAGACTGAAGAGTTCATGTAATAGATCATGACAGTCAGCAGTTGCTGGACTCTTAAGGATTGAGAGACTGAGCCAGCTGTTCTTCTGATGTAATGCATTACCAGCTGATGGAAACTGGTAATGTATTACTTCAAAATGACACCACCCAGAAAAGGAAGAGTCCAGAGGTGCAGATTCTGTATAATGAGGTATTCAAAGTATGAAACAGGGCTGCAAACTCCTGGAACAAGGTGTTGGTAATCAATCAGCTTTCTGTAGTATTCCAATGAGCTATGAGCTACACAGCTACACACTGCTGTCTGATTTCCAGTGCCTCTCTGCGGTGCTGGTTTTGTGCAGACCAAAGATAACCCTAGCAGCAGTTTAGCCTTCACTCTTCCTACAACGGAACAGTTCACAATCCAAGTAACCTGGAAGAGAGGATAGACAGAATTATATTGGCTCAACAAATTCAAATATTTGGGACTTTTCCTCTTCTTGGGCTACTGTCAGAACCACTCAGATGCTACTCTTTTAATGAACTAAGCTCACCCATGACAATGGCACAGACAGGGATGGCCCATTTGCCCTTTTTTTGGGACTATTGCATCCTAAAGGGACAGAATGGGCTGGCCCAGAGCACTGCAGTTGTGATTGACTTTTCCTGCAAATTGACTGAAGGCAAGAAAGGCTCTTTTGGCCATCTCTTCATCCCTTCTTTGTTTATCTTTCACCTGCCACACACACAGACTTAGGCCAAAGAGTAATTGATCCCTAACTATCAACATCAATTAAAAAGAAAATAACTGGAACAGGTAGCAATTCTGAACATTTGCCTACAAAACTTTATCTTGTTGATGAAGTAGATTGTGTATGTGTAAAAGTATTTCCTCTAAATTGATTTTTAACCCTAAGCCAACCATGGGAAAACAGAAAAACTGGAAGATAATATTTTAAAATCCAGAGCTTCATCTCTGTGGTAGCTCTTTTAAATATCTCTTGTTTGTCAAATGCAGTACTGTTTATAATTGTGCATATATAAGCATCATCGTATCTTTGGCAAACCGTTGAAGATAAATAGGTCCTACCCTCAAATTTTACTTTTTATTTATGAATGGTTTGTACTGCATATAAAAAATAATTATATTTTACTAATAATAAGCATAATTTTCTGTCCATACTCAAATAGTATAAATCACGACTACAAGATATTAAATATGGTTTTGTGGCATGTGATCCTGAGTCAAAAATATTCCATTCTCATATAGAGAGAGGTCCATACTTTTAGAACTTTGCCAGGGGATTATTGAAGAGGAGCCTTGCCTGGCAGACTCCATACAGGATGGGATAGAGATTGTGTGCTCATGTATCATCCATTGCCACTACTTCAGCTGCTCTCTTCATCTTCGGTGCTCCAAGGCACTGGGGATTTTCCACCCCTGCCTGCCATTCATCTCAAAGCCAAAAATTAGCACTTTGCAAGGACAAGTACTTAAAATCACATCTGTAATTTCTGCAGTTGTGGGTACAAAATTGATTGTGGGTACAACATTCCAAGTAACCTACTAAAGATTTCTTGATTGAAAAAAAAAAATAATAAAAAACCCCAAGAATTTTCTGTGCTTGCTTCTACCTTGTTTCATTCCCAAGATTATATACATGATTAGCCATCAACATTGGAGTATCACAGAAACATTTTGCTCAGTCTTGACTGGTTTTATTTTATTATTTTTATTTTTAAAGTATTTTTGCTTTACCTCTAAATATTCTGGTTAACGTACATGGGGGAAACATTTGTATACCAGGAGTCATGTTTGCAAGGGTCTGGTGGAGAATGTCAGAGGGAGACTGTTCCCTCTTTGACAACATTTTGTCACATTTAATGATCATTACTATCTCCTTGAATGAGACTTTATGGAAATCGTAGTTCTGAACATACAATCAGCTAATTTATGGCCTAACAAGTGTTTCCCTGAGACAGCAGTTGACTGGCATTTGATCATTTTTGTAAAATGCACCTTATCTGCTACTATTAGATGCTAAGACGGCACTTCTCTTATAGTTTTTGGCACACAAGCATCTCTACTCTCTGCGAGAAAAAAATCACAAAACTTGTATTTAGCTCTCCTTATAAACTTGGACAATATGACAGGTTTCTAATCCAAATAATTGTTTAAGATTATTACAATTATAATTATTGTAGTGATAATAACACATTATTTCAGCTGACAATACATTAGTTCCATGGGGAGATAAACTGCAAGGCCAATGGATTTATCTTGATAACAAAATGGATTATTATTAACTATGATGGTAATTTTTCCATACATGCACAAAGAAATCTCCCATTGAGTTCATTGTCTTTTGACTGAATGCTGGTAAGAATTTTGTCTACATATATGTAACAAGGCTGGATTCTGCAGTAGTGCAATATTGTTACTGTTATCCTATATTGTCTAGACAAGCTCCATAGCTTTACTTGGCGCTTCAGGCCCAGGACTTCTGTCTTTAAAAATGTCTCTTAAAAATTATGAAATGCAAGACAAACAAGGAATTAGAGCAATTGTGAATTTATCAGGATTTTGCAAGGCAGATTTAAAGATGAGCAAGGAAACCTTAACCTAACTACAGTTTCCTGTATGTAGCAGCATGGAAGAGATAGCTTTACTTCCATGATCTTCCACCATAAAGCCATAGCTTCTGCTCCACTGGTGATACAAGCTTTGAACATTACAGTAGCAGCTCCTTGTTATGAATTTGGACTGTAGCAACTAATATCTTCTGTCTCTGTTTCTCTTTTTCTCATTCTGAAAAATATATAAGGACACTTGATCTAGATAATGATTTTGCCAGTGATTATATTTCTGTAGGAAAGCAAATATACAGAACTTTATTATCAGAAAATCTACAGACCAAGAGTCTTTAAAGAGATTTGGATCAGAATCTGAGTTAGGACTTAATGCTTATTTACCAAATCTATTATAATCCATAGTTTAAAATCCATTCTTGTTTTGTTTAGTTCATCTCGTTCGTTCCTCTCCTATATCTTTATCATTGTGCTGTATTGGCTTTCTTATTTTGTCCTTACTTAAAAAAAAAATTAATCGAGGTAAAATATATTATAAAATTCATTGGAAATTTTGATAATTGTCATGGACATTTATTTGCTAAAAAATACATTTTACACCATAAGACTGACATTAATATGCAAATCACTGGACTATAAAATTCATTTTCATACCTCCAGGGCAGTATTTTTATAAATACAGAAACATAATCATGCATCCTCCAGAGAACTAAAAATAATTATACAAATTTACAACAAAGCCCAAGGCAGTGTCTCCTTTTAACTGTCTGGTTTTAATATAATTTAAATCTTGTTAAAACTTAATTACCAATTTTCTTCCATAATTTAAGTGGAAGAGCTGAGGTCTAAGCTTGCTGTTTGAGAGAGAGAACTTCATCTGAGAAACAAAGACACCAAGGCACAGATTGACAATACCAGATAGTACACAGAAAATCTTGGTAAAAGAAAAGTCATCACAGATAACAACGAAGAACAGAACTTACACCTATCTACATTGTCATGGTTTAATTCAGGTCCACAATTAAGTTTTATGCAACCACTCGCTCATCCTCTTCCCTCCCCTCCTGCCTCCCCGTGGCAGAAGGGGGAGAGGAATCCGAATAAAAGGTAAAACTTGTGGGTTGACATAAGAATAGTTTAACAATTTAAATAGTTTAAAATATAATAATAAAAGAGAAAAGGACGGAGGAAAAACCCCAAGAAATGCAAGTGATGCCCAATACACTGGCTCCCCTGCCTGGACCCAGCCCATTTCCAGCAGTGATCAGGCCTCACATCCCACTCCCCCTGTTTATGCACTGTCTATAATATTCTGTGCCATGGAATATCCCTTTGAGCAGTTCAGGTCACTTGCCCTGGCCATGCTCCCCCAGCTCCTTGTGCAGCTCCTCTCTGGCAGAGCACAAGACACCAAAAAGTCCTTGACTTAGGGGAAGCATTACTTAGCAACCAAAACATCAGTGTGTTGTCAACAAGAATTCTATAGTAAATCCAAAACACACTGCTGTGCCAGCTGTTAGTAAGAAAATTAACCCTGCCCCAGCCAAGCCCACTGCAAACATCCACATAAAATGGGACTGAGCTGATGTCTTGTGTGACAGAAATATAAATAGACTGGAGCATATATAAACCTACATAATAATATTTACATCTACACATACTCATATATAGGTGGTGATTTATTCATTAATGCTGATATAGCTCAAGATGTATCCATCTGGGAGGAGAGTTTCAGGACCAGTGCTTTCATCCTCTTTGTTCCATGGCTGTTTTCTGGGAGATGATGAATACTCAGAACAGGTGTAAAAATAAGTAACTACAAATTCAAAGCCAGCCTGGCTACAGGCTTCAGGTGATATATGGAGTAGGCACATTTTATCAGGAATTTCTGCTGTATTAATACCTGTGGATATGTATTTATTTTGTATGGCTGCACTTTGGAAAAAAATAATCTTCTCTCTTCTTCCATGGGTGATACTTCTATCAGGTCACAACAGCAACTCTACCCCTGTATCAGAGGTATGAGGTCAGGGATGGGGCCTCAGCTTTGTACTCCAAATAAAGCTCCTGGTAAGCATATTTAAAGTGACATAATACTGACAAAGCCTGTTTCTTTGGACTGATTTACAGAAGATTCTACACCCTCAATGTCTACTCCCTTAACATTAAAGGTAAAGCAGAGCATATTGCTTCTCTGCACCTGTGGTGCCGTGTCCCCTCACACTCTTCCCCCAGTTCTACCTTTGCTGCCAAAAAAGACAAGGAATCCTGAAAATGGTACATTTTTAATTTCCTCCCTTAGCAATACATTAACAATTTCCTCCCATCAACATGGAGACTGCTGCCTCAGGTCTATTCTTTGTGCTGCGTTTGCCAGCCACTGTTTAGTAACAAGTGTCACTGTCTGCTCCCCTGCTTTGAACTGGAACACATTCCTGTGGCCCCCACATCCAGCTGAAAGCAGCTTTGTATTGATTTAATTCACCCTTTTTAGTATGACCATAGTCACAATGACGGATGTGCATCCAAACTTCCAGCTATTGCACAATTGCCACTGGGCAGAAATTCAAGTGATTTGGCACAGTGTCCTGTTGGGAATCAATTCCCATTGGTTCATTCTGCCCAGTGCATGCCTTGCCTGTGATTGAAATGCCAGGCATTTGTTAGCAATCCTGATGCCAGTATTGACAGCCATTCTCATAACACTGCTCTGTCCTTTCGGGCTGCATATTCATCAGGTGTTCATGGAAGTAAGAAATGCAAAATATTAGAGAAGCCAGTATGTTAAAAATTTCACATGCTATTCCCATTATTGCATTAACAAGTAACCTGTTCATTTACAGATACACATAAATAATACTTACAATTTAAGATGTCAAAATTACTTTTTTATTTAACTGCATAGACTACTCAGAAATCTTTCATATAGAAAAGGTATCCTTCAGAGCTAGAAGTACAGTATATTTAATAAGTCTTTAATAAATAAGATTTACTAAGACATTTAAATCAAGAATTAAATAGGCTGTCATTAGCACCTGTGTAAATGAGTTTGAAATCGAGGCGTTTCCTTAGCTGGACTAGGTTGTAGATATGTTGGTTTCACTAGGCTCTGCAACCATTTGTTTCTAATGATTTTTTGCCATGCAGCATGACTGCAATGGGTGTGAAAATGGAAGTGTGATATTTTCCAGGTTGTTACTAGTCAGGTAAAAGTCAGAAACAGTAACAATAGTCTAAAGATGACCTTGCTAAACCTGACTGCGTTCTTAATCCAGAAAATGCTGCTTAAAATATTTTCAATATAGCAATGTGTCTCTCTTTCTTGCTCTGTGGTAGAATGATCAGATATTTTTTGTCTCACTTGGAAGTTCTGGATCTATACTTCTTACCACAGAGCTTTGTAATCTTGTCAGCTTTTTAGGTAAACCTGATGGACTTGCAAACTTTCCTGAACCTACTCAACCTATAACCAATGTGACGCAGCACTGTGGAGCCTTGTTTCTGTCTCTGTGGGGGAAAATCTGAGGCTGGAAAATCTCAAATATATATGGGGAGAAGGTAATCGAAAAAAATGTTGTGAGCACATATAAGAAATATGATTTAGTTGAACAGTCCAACTAAATTAGTTTTTATCCCTAGACATAGGTTTTCTAGTGCTATTTCAAGAAATTATCAAAGATCACAGAAATAGCAGGATTTTGGCAAATTCAGAAATTGTTCCCAAGTGAATTGCAATCACCTTTACCATCTTATTTCTGCAAAATGTGACATATTTAAATATTGCCAAAGAATACAGTTCTTAAATGTCAGTATGGTTTAGGAAGTATAAAGGCTCCAAGATGTATGTCAAAAAACCAGATTCCTCAGATGGGTGCCAGAGAAAATCTTTTTCCAAAGAAGCTTCAGAAATTCAGTCTAATGTGTACTATTAATGTGATGCTGTGACAGCTCTTTAGAGAGCTGTCATTATCAGGCTTGTTTGGACTGGACTGTGTCAGGCAACCACAGGCTGAGAACTCAGTGCTCAGCCTCACTCACTCTAATGTACCTGAAGTAAGGCATTCCCAGAGGAGCCAGTGCCTACCCAACAGTGTACCCTGCTCTTGCCATGGCTTGGAGGCCTCCAATTCCAAAGAATACCCACATGTGAAAGGGGAAAAAAGCTCCTGTTTGCTTTTTTTGAGGATTAGGAAATACTAACTCATATCATTCATCTGAGCAGCTGGTGACAGCAGTGCTGAAATGCTAAAGAGGTAAGCAGTGGGAGGTTTACAGCATGTCTGTTTATGTTGTTTCATCTCCTTTGTGCTGAATTCCTCCATAGCACATCCTGTCCATTTGTCACCAAGAAACAAGATATAGTGACCAAGAGAAAGTTGCTTCAAGTGAAGGATTAATTTTGTATCATGTAAGAAAGATGGCTATTGATACTGCATGCAGGAACACTTATCATGCTGATGAATTTCATGTACCTGATAGTGTCAAGCACCAAAGATTCGATTTCAACACAGCCTTCCTTGCAGCTTTTGCAAGTTCTGAGGCTCAGTTAAGCACCAGCACATTTTGAAGTTGAAGTCTTGCTTGGTAAGATAATGGGTAGATGGAAACCTATTCAGCATAAGGTTCCAATTCTCAGTCTTTCTTTAATAGCTATGATGAGATACGGAATAGAGAATAAGGTTTCAAAGCCTTTAGTTGCTATAAATCAATGGCTGCTAGTTATGGAGAGAAAAATATTTTTTTCATTAATGCTAAATAGATCTTTAACATATAGATACTAAATCTCCTAGAAGATAAAACATTCCCTTTGTGCCCCACATCCCTGAAAGGGAACATGCAAACATTTTCAAAAGCTTTCATGGGAGATAAAATATTGTGGATTTCTTTTCTAATTGCCAGGAGCAGTGTAACTGCACCAGCCCTACCCATGGGTTTGGCTGAGAACAAGGCAGGATGAGGCGCTGGATGCCTTCAGGTGGGTGAAGTTCCCATTTCCATGAGTGCTGCTGTGACAGCTCCCAGCAGCAATACTGCAATCACAGCAGAACAGACTTTCAGTGTCAGGGCTGTGCTCCAGCCTCCAGTCTCTGCTCTTTTCTCCAGCTCTGCACTGCCTAGCCCATGTTATCTAAACTTAAAAGATTGAAAAGTAGAAAGAGTTCAAAACACATCAGGAAAAAGACACATTTCCCATCATACTAGACTGCAAGATTTCTGATTTTGTTCTGATTTAGGATATAAACATACCAGTTCTGCCTCTTTAATTTGATGGTGTTGTAAAGGACAGAGGAATTGCAAAAATGTGTTAGACAGCTCTGAGGTGGATACTAATATACACTTCACAGATTTCCCTGTCTTCCTTGGGACAATGGAAAACCAAAGGCTTATGATATTGGTCCTTACTGCTCTGGCAGTGTTTGAGACAGGGGTGTGGGGCAACATGTTTAGGTTTCAAAATGTCCAGATGTCCCTATCTGTATATATGAGAATATAGCCTCTCTCTTCAATTAAAAGGAGTGACCAGAAAATTGCTGATAGCCACACAAAGTAACAAATTAAAAAGTAAAATAATTGATAGTCATAGCTGATCATGAAATTCCTGAATGTTCCAAAAGAGTATGGGGTTTCAGCTATCTTCCTGTATGCTTTCAGGTAGTGTCAGTGCAGTGTTGCACGTGTGTTTTTCTGCAGAAGTCCCATGGAAGAATACAAAGCAAGTCAGAAAACCCTGTGTATGAAGATGGTATCTTGACTACTGCATAGATGGAGTTTTAGTTTATCCCAAGTTATTGCTCATAAATGGTTTAGCAATTGTTCTGTCCTAGGGATTATTCATGCCACTACTTGACAGACTGCTTGATCTATTGATCAGTGAGGAAAGTATGAGAAATCAAGTTGTTGCTTAAAATTAGGTTAATGATTGACACACTGGACCCACCAATCTCATTATGATTAAACATTGAAAAGTTATGCTTCTGCAAAGTAATGTATTGAAAATAGTTTTGTCATTTTGATTTCTTACTGATTGATTTCCGAAAAGCAACAATCCCTGGTGAATAACAAAAAATAACTTAAAACTGCAAGTTTTAAGTGGAGTTCATGTTAGTAAATCAGCCATTAGTCCAATTACTGTTTGTGTCCAGAGATTAATTGTTTTTCATATCCTGGAACAACCAGAATACCTCCAGGATATTTAAAACAGTGATTTAAAACTGTGATTGCAAAATACATTATTGAGATGCACAATATTTGCATCATTTGCATGTAGAGTGAAAATTTTCTGTTCTCTTTTCTGTGTTGAGGATGTTGTTAGCAAATTGCTAGATTACTCAGAAGACTTGCTGAGATCACAGAACAAACCTGCAGGTTTTTTATTTGTAACAAAAATTTAAAATAACAAAATACGTGACTATATTTTGCTTTCTTTGTGTGTAAGGTCACTTATTTAATTTTCCCCCCTCTAATATAATTTTTAGATTTTACTAGTTAAACCCTAGGATACTGTGTTTATGTAAGGAGATAGGAAAAAAGAGTGGGAGACAATTTATTAGTAAAGAAAGACTTGTATTTGCAGGTAACAATAAGCTTCAGTAAAGGGAGGGTGTGGAAAGAAGAGCAGATTCAGTGTCAACAGAAGTATCCAAACTAATCAAAATACATATGGAAAACAGTTCTGAATAATTTTTTACCATTTCTAGTACTGACTCACAATTTATGAAGCTGGTATTTTTTGAACCATATTGAAATTTCCATAAGCTTCAAATTTTGTTACCTGATTACTATCTCCACACACCATTTCCTTTTTTTTTTTTCCTTAGGTTGATGGATTTCTGCAAAACTGCATTAATTTTGATAAGGAATACATTTCTGCAGTTATTGTAAAAGAAGATTGTCTCCATGACCCAGAGTTCAACTCAAAATTTGTTCAAGAAAATTTCAGTGGCTGCTGCACACAGTGCTTGAGTTAACATCATTAGAGTCCAGGAGGTAGGAGTTAAACCGGTGTAAATTTCTTCAGCTCAAAATTTTAATTTTTTGCTTCTTTCAGCTCCTCTTCTGCTATTGCAAATAACTCACTTCATAGTTATAGCTATATTAAAAAATACCAGGGAAAATATTTTGAATGTCATAAATTACTTTTAGACTATGAAAATGGGTTGTGTATCATGGCCATGCTTCATATGGAGGCTTCCAAAAATAGCTCAGCAGAAGAGTCTCTGCACAGAGACCCAAAAGGTCTGAATTTAATCCTGTCTCTCTAACTGATCTGCAGGGTGACCTTGGGCAATCTGTGTACCATTTTCCTTCTTGCTAAAATGAAAATAATAATACTTATTGCCCTTGCAAAGCACTTCTAGAGTAAAGCATATGAATCGATAACATCTTCTCCTTAAGTATATGAAATAGCAGAGGAAACTCTTCCCACTTGCATTAGTGTGCTTTTAGCATTTAGAAATGTGAAATTATGAAGATTATTACATAGGAGGGAGAAGCCCAGAAGTGGTCCCCTAATCAATAAGTTGCCAGCTGGAATGCAAAGGAAAGCAAGTTAATGTACCATTTAGTGTAACAAAGAAGAAAATATATGCTTTCAATGTGGGTATGGCAGCTATCAGTGCAGTCATACTGTATTGTCTAGCTGGCTTGCGTGCTGGTGTGGCAATAGAACAGTATGAAACATACAAACAGTTTGAAATCCCTACACCAGTTTTCAAGACTTCCAGTTCTCCTGGAGAGATCTGTCAGTTTAGACAGAAGGGAAAAGCTAGACTTAAGTGCTCTGACCACGTGTGTGTGCCTTTTTCTTCATGTGGGGACTTCCTTCCCCCTGGAATGCTGCTTTGCTTTTGCCAGCAGATCACCAGTACAATCTGTCTTGGCACAATATGCTTTACAAGAATGACAGCAAACATGGGTTTTCACTTGTGTCCATAGGCTTTTGACCTGCAGAGACTTTTTGCAGTCCATGCAGATGGATTCCTTGAGCTCGAGTATTCAGGCACTGCTTGTATAATACCTCTCAGCATTTTCTATCAGGCAGTACACAAGTCCAGTGTCATCTACTGTGCAGCCTAGGTGAGCCTTGGCAATAATTAAAGTATTTTAAACCATCTGCTTAATTGCATAAAAAATACACTGATGAGCTTGCAATGTTTGAATGATCTTCAGGAAACTATTAGGCCAAAGCAATTCCTTCTTGTAATGTTTAACTAATTCACAATGTTTGTTCTGTGAATTACAGTTGGTCTTTACACCATTTGTTAGTCTTACCTGTAGCAGAGCCCTGCTTGCTGCTACTGAGCCAGAAGATTCCTCCTGTTCTTCTTCCCTCTGCTCTCTCATCTCTGCCTGCCAAGCTCTTCATTGAAGTGGAGACTTCAGCAGCCGTGCATGAGAGAGGCTGGGCAGTAAAATCCAGCCCTCTCCCTTCCCAGCCGTGCTTGGAGCCTTGACCCTGAGCGAGGAAGGATCCCTGTGCCAGCTGTCACCTCTGCACTCTGGCTGTGCCAAGCACCCGCCATGCTCACTCAGTCTTTGTGCCAGGGAGAAGGGGAGATGCTGGAGCAGCATACCCAAGTGCACTTCCAGCTTCCTTGTCCAGCTCCTCAGCTGAGGGTCTGCTTAGCCCCAGCTGGGTCCTGCAGCAGAGCAGGGCCATTTCCATGGCTTTTCGCAGCGGTGGCGTTAGGTCATGTAGCCACGCTGCCAGGTGGCCCCTCCCAGAGAAACAGGACGGGCTTCCAGACCCGTCAGGAGCCGTTCAGAGGGCAATGGATGAACAGGGACAGTGGTCTGGCACTGTCACCTGGGGGACCTTCCCCTTAGGGCTGCTGCGGAGGCATGGCACAGCACGGCATCTGCACATCCCAGCTCCTCCAAAATGGGGAGGCCCCAGATGCCTGCAGCTCTGGGTTCTGCAGGCACAGCAGGCGGTGTTGGCCGTTCCTGCTGCATGCCTGGCTCCATCACCCCTCTGCCTCCCAGCCAGAAAAACCAGGAAACACAGGAGAGAAGGCTACTGAAGATATAGATAAGAACTGTAGGCTAGCAGACCTGCTTCAGTTGTCATTAAAAGTCAATAAAGTAATCCTTTCATAAGCATTGGAGTCTACCCATCATGAAGATTGTTTGAAGATTCCATCCCTGCCACACGGGCAAGAGTCAGTGGATAGTTTGTCCTGAGATCAAGCCCCACCCTTTCTGTTCAGAAATTCCCCTTACTGTTTAATTAAAGTGCCTGAATGTCTCCCAAAAGTCACCACATAAGTATCTAATAGTCTGGATTACGAATATTAGGATAGTATGAGGTAATTCCATTAGATGATAATCTAATAACCATAAACTGAAAAAAATGTTTATACATTTCACTTGATATATATGCAAAAAAGAAAATTTGCTGTTGGGTGTGGTATAATGTTTATGATTAAGTGCTTTATTCATACTTGTATGTCAATCTATTAGTGTGCTGTTAATTCAAATGTTACTATGATGTATTCTATCGCCGTTAGCACATTTATCACAGGTAGATGTGAAACTTAGACAAAGGTGTACATTCTCATTAATGATGAGCAGCCTATTCATCTTACTAGAGTGTAATTAATGTTAGTTACAATACTTAATTTTTCACTGTTTGTCATGGTGCATATTTAGCATTTCTTCTGTCCTTTATCAATCTGCTCTCCTATCACATGAGCACATCAAAAAGATATATGTAAGTATCTGACCTGTTTTGATGCCTAATTTTTATACTTTTACAAGAACTGGAATGTTTTTAATCTTATCCTGTAGGCAGCACAGTTAGCTAAAAAAACAGACTGGAAAGTGTTGTCCATTGCTTTGAGGTTTGGGTTAATTTCATTTGCAATAATAACATAAAAATCAGATAGTGAAGTAAAGCAGGGCACGCCATGAAGACACAGGTACTATTTGCTGTAGTGTTGTGCTGTGCTTGTGCGGGGTTGTAGTGGTGCCAGTTGTTCTCCTGGATTTTCAATTACATGGTTTTTGTACTCTAAGGCTGTTAGTGCTGGTTAAATATGTTGTGGGAGCAATGCAGCTCCAAAACCAATAGAAGCATGGAATATCTGAAAAGTGCACGTTATTCTGTAAATAAGTGCTACAAGGGCTTGTTGTTATACTTTAGGAGCATTGCTTTGTCAATAATGTTGTTAGCAGTGCAGTGCCAAACCACAGTCCCGTGTGCAGTGGTGCAAGAGGGGAAGAAGTTATGGCTAATGTGTCACACAGTGGGTGGGAAACAAGTCCTGCAGAGGTGGGTAAAAGGGACTGAGCACTATGAACACATTCTTGGATTTGCTCCCCAGCACGCCAGTAAATCCAGCTGAGCTGGAATCCTAGGATAAGTCCATACTTTTGTATTGGTCCCAGAAAAAATACAATCACCTTAGCTCAAACCTGGGCACAAAGCATTTTTATTTCATTTTCATCCATAATTCCCAGTAATCTGGATTGAAAGAGAACTGATCCTTCCATTAATTGTTGTTGAATGAAATTTCTTGGGACAAATATTTGAGTAGGGTCAACCAAATGCACAAGGTGCAGAATGGATTTGGGATGTGTTTTCTCAAAATTTCAAGGAACTTTCTCTGAGAGAAAGCACACCAATTCCTATTTGTTAGTCTCTTAATTGGTGCATATTATACTTCTAATCTATTAGGAATTAGCTGGTTTTTTTCTGTGAAATGACCTTTTTTGTAAACCACTGTTCATGCCAGGCATGAAGCTGATCACATCTCCAACATAATGACATCCATCTTGATGTCATTCATTTGATTTCATTGAAACGATCAAGAGCTTGCAGAAAAACATACATCTATTACAAAATCCTTAAAATAATGCATTTGTATGCCTTGGATTAATTTCCTTTTGACACACCACAATTGAAGTATAAGGGAATCAAACAGAGGAATTTAACATATTTCAGTATGAAAATTAAATTTGGACACAATTACACATGGGTTAAATTGTAGTTTAGTAGAAAATTAAGAATAAATACCCCTAGCTAAGTTTAGGCATTTTCAACAAAATGATAGTTGAAGGTGCTCCATAGTGATTGAAGTATAATAATAACCTGTAATGTGAACAGAATTGAGTAGAGCTTTTTCCCATGCTTCCAAAGTAATACTTTATAACAGTGACTTATATTTCTAAGACTGCACCAAAATCTTCTTACTACCCCTTCCTTTGAATTTTCTATGGAAAAAAGACCAAAAAGTTCTCCATCTAATAACAAAATTCCTAAAATAATAGACTCTGACATTCTCTTTCTACCCACTTATCCCTCAGCCCTGACTAATTTGAATACAGGGAATTGCTAAAACATCTCTTTTTAACAGATAAAGATTAAATGCAAAGAAACTATAAAGTTGCCTTTAACCTTCATGAAATCACAAAGCTAGGTATAACAACAAGCTGTAAAACACACCAGAAAGATGAGCATTTCAGTCCATTTTGATTTGTCCATTTTGCTTTCAAAAGGAATTTATAAAAACACCCAGGAACAATGAACATTTGAACTCAAAATGGTCCAGGTTTATTTTTACTCCAAAAGAAGTCTCAATAGAGATATTGATTTTCTAGCATTCATCCAATATTTCACAGAAAATGGACCTGACCTTGCAATCCCTAGTGGAGACATGGAAGCAGTCATTACAGTCATGGTTCCCATTGATTTTACTGGGATTACTTGCATAAGTAAGGGTTTTCAGAATGTGACCCGGTGTCCCATTAGCAGTAAGACCAAGTGTATGTGGATGTCAGTCCCACTCTGTTCAGCAGGGTGCAGTTTACATTCCTGTCCTATATTCATCCTATGGTTTTATTCCTGCCTATTTATTCTACATATTTTTTGTTTTCTGTCGCAGAGAGCCTCATCACTATGAGTTACCTCTGGTGAGAAGTACCAGTCCTCCTGCCTGCCTTAGCAGGTTTTTTTCACTGTATCTTCAACTGTCAGAGTTGAAGATCAACTTACAGATCCTTCTTCCTTTGGTTCTGTTGTCTGTGATGATTTTAAAAATACTTTGGGCTAGGCACTACCTCTCACTGTACTTTTTTAATCTCTAGGACCAAATGCAAAGGAAACATTACTGTACTTTGCACAGTAAACACAGAGTAGTGGAAAACTAAAAAACTCAGCGAGTGATTTTTTTCTTAACCCTTGGAAGGTTTCTTGTGCCCCATGGCTCCTACAGGAAAGCTACTCTAGAAACTCACTACTCAGATGGATAGAATCCTCTTAATTTTGACTTTGACTCTACCACAAACATTTTATTCAGGTTTATTCTTGTGATAAGCTTGTCTTTTATCTCAAAAGGTTCTTTTCTAATACTCACATTGGTATTTCCTCACTAATGTAACTATGATACATCTTTTTGTTTCATTAATTGTGAACAAGGTGCAGGAGAGGTGTGCAAGAAACAGGATGACTACATGTTTGTACAGTGCCTTGCACAATTGCCCAGTCATGGTTCAGGGCTCCATAGGCTGACTTTGTTTCAGCAGTGAATACTAATGACCCTCCAGAACACACTGCATGCTTTATTCCAGATGGACACCATTAATTCCTTCAATTTTCATTGAGATGCAGAGCTTTAGAACAAGAATACTAGAAATTGATTATTTTTATCAGTGGTATTTTCAAAGAAATGAAGAAATGAGATGTACAGTATATTTCAGTTTGCAATGATCATTCTGTTGCTCCATTTGCAATGGAAATGAGCATATAACATATTCATGTGTACAGATAAGGAAAATGACAAACATTAACATCTCTTGCTCTATTCATTTATAATATTCAGTTTTAAAAAAAAATCCTTCCATTCCATAGTTTTTAGTTTTGTTCCTGAAGCACAATGCAAAACAAAAAAAAAAGAGAGAAAATTAATGGATAAAATAAATTTAATTACTTTCTAAGCAAGTTTCCCAAAAATTAATTTAATCTAAACCACAAATTCTTTGCAAATCTATCTATTAAAAATATATAATTACATGCCTATTTTTTTTATTTTTATATGTCTCTAAAATATGCAGTCACTTATGAAATCAAATAAACCAGGAGTGTGTGTGTACACACTTGTATTTTGTGGCCAAGCCTTTGATGTGTAACTCAGCCTGTTTAAGCAGACTGCAGGGTTGCCTTCTCAGTGTCAGTCCATTTCTGCACAATTTAATCTGCCACTAAAGAGAAGTTTTTTGTTCTTATGGGTATAAAACAGTATGCCAAGGATAAATCCGTGCAGCTTGCCTTCCTTAAAATTTTAGGCACAACCTGAAAGTGCAGCTCTTTCCTTTTCTAATCTCAATGGGATGCTAACATAACAATCACAATTTTAGGACAGGGAAATTGTTTTGAGCAGCAATAAATTGTCCTGCCAGTACTGTTTCATGGAGTAACATTAAGGCGCATTGGGCCTGGGGTTCATAGCTTATGATATCTGGTTTTGGAGGACTGGGGTGAAGGTAAGAGCATGTAGAGAAAGAAGAAGAAGAATTAAATATGAGTTCTAGATAGTTCAACAGAGTTGAAGCAGTTCAGCAATAGACATGCCAGAATCCTGCAAAGAGCTTATTCTCTAGCTCCCTTGTCTGGTGCTGTCAGAGCCCACGAAGGGGCTTTCTCTTTAAGTGTGGATTCCCTTTTTCCTCCTCTTTTGTTGAGGTATCTAAAGATATTGGGCTTTAACTTACGGCTTGTATTTGCTGAACAAAACAGGAAAAAATATCTGTAGTTTCCTCTGAAGCTGCCAGGAAAGAGAAGTCCATTATTTGTAGCTCTAGGGGAGCAGCAGAGGAGGGGTCTTTTTGTCTGCTCTCCAAGACCTGGAGTGGAGGCCATGGAGGTCTGGGACGGGCAGGTTGGGGCAGCCACAGCTGCAACTGCACCAGAGTTTCTCAGGAAGGCTCTGGCTGGGCAGGGATCTGTGTGTGGCATTCCTACCTCACCTGCTGTGAAACAGTGTTCTCAGCTTTGGATCTCAGTGAAGACAAAATGAGCTGCCCTTCAGGAATATGGAGCTGAGGCTGGCCTGTCCACAGCTGCCCTTGCCCCTGGCAGCACCTCAGGGCAGCTGCTGGCACCTGCAGAACGTATCCTGCAAATGTGGCCACAAAATAGCAATGCCACAGGTATAAAATCCTTATGATCAGACGCTCCCCATTGTGACCCTGAACAAGTTAATCACATCGCTCCTCTTGAAGGTTCATACTGCCACGATATAATTTATGTGGGCCCTCAAAGATAGATGGAGACGTCAGCTATTGATCACAAGGAATTGCTGCCAGTCAGTCTTTTTGTTGGTTTCCATCCTTGTGATGTGTTTTAAAAAATATTGTATGATTCAAAATTATACCTGTAAAACCTACAAGTAGAAAATTACTGTGTGCATTTATCTTTAATAACAACCTTGCGAATATTTATAGTACTAGTAGGGTAGAATGTGTTATACTAGTTTATTTCCCAGTCTGTTTTAAATGATATTATTCATTAGTAGTTGTGAAGTGGTATGACATATTTTTTATGTTGCTTGTTTGTAACAAAGGTTCTTAATACCTTTTCATAATCAAAGGGGATAAATGCTAACATGGAATATGGGAAATTGTGCTTGCAAGAGCACAGTGTTGTCTTAGGGTATTAAATTAGCATTTGGTACTGCTCTGCTTTGTGTGCATTTCTAGCAAATGTTTCAGCTACAAATCACTATAATACACCTGTATTCTGGTTCTTCAATTCATATAGCATTTAAATCCTGCCAATACTGTGTCTTATAAATATAAATATGCAATTTAATTTAATTCAAGCATGCAACACATAATTTTTTCTTCTAATTAAAATATGATATTGCAATATGGGAGCCGCCTGGGGCAAACAGGACGCATCAGATTGCCAAGCCAAAGGGAATTCTGAGGCTGGCAGGGGAAGGGGTCAACCCGCTGAGCCCCGGCGCAGGGCCCCAGCGATGCCCGCCTGGAGCCGCGGTGTTTGCAGAGCCCGCAGGGGCAGCCTGGGCTGCTGGACCTGCACAGCCCCGCGCTGCTGCGCCGGCGGGGGCCCGGCGGGCACGGCCCCGGGGGTTACTGCAGCCAGCGGGAGCCCGGCGGGCACGGCCCCGGCCGCGGGGGCCCGGTGGGCACGGGCACGGCCCGGGGCACGGTCCCGGGGGTTGCTGCAGCCAGCAGGAGCCCGGCGGGCACGGCCCCGGCCGCGGGGGCCCGGCGGGCACGGCCCCGGCCGCGGGGGCCCGGCGGGCACGGCCCCGCCCGGCGCTGCGCTGCCCCGCCGCCCTGCCCGTCCTGTGCGAGCTGGCAGAGGCGGCACGGCCGTGGCCGAAGTTGGCCGATGTGCAGCAGAGCCCAGATCGTTCTGGGCAGGAGGAACTGCCCCACGGCAGCCACTCGAGGGATTCCTATAACGCTCTCTCAGAATCGAGCAAAACAACACGAATAGGCCTTCTGCATAATGATTCAAAAACTGTTAATGGCCATCTTTAGTAACATAGCAACGGCCAAACCCTTGAAAAGAGGAAGTTTTCATTGAGAAAGGGTTTCATTTTAAACATTGAAATTTGGTATAATGTAGTGTCTGAAATAAGTTTTGAAAGGAAGCTGATGATTAAGAAGAAATGCAGTGGGCATTTAATAAATGGAGGAGCCGCAAGATAATTAACTGGCATGCATAAAGATTCATGCTTTATACCAAAATTTTAATTTTGCACATAAATGTGCCTGATGTAGGCAGCATTTAATCACCTAGCTGACAGGAGTAACTACTTTCATTTAACCTTGACTGAAGATCATGAATTCTAACAGGTTTAATTGGATACATCATTTAACAGAATGAACAGAGCAAATTTTTCTCAATTCATAGGTTCTGATTGACATGCACCAGCAATAAGGCGTTGCACAATTAAAGCTGATCTGTATTCCTGGCCTGGGCAGCAATTGCCATAGTGATGTGACACTGTTTGATCACTGTGGCACTGAAACTATACTGAATTTCCCCTTGTTTTGAAAAGGGCAATGCTTAAAAAAAAAAAAAAAAAGAAAAAAGAAAAAAAAAAAAGAGAGAAAGATAAAGAGATTTTGGCACTTTTTTTTTTTTTTACATTAATCACATTTATATGCACAAACTGTAAGGGAAGGAACTTGTCTTGTTATCAGTAACTCAGAGGAAAGAAGGAAAAATGGTATATTCTTTTATCCATTTAGCACATTATTTAGAGAAAGTCAAAAATGTGTATAGTCAAATGAATTGTAACATATTTAAGGGCCTGATTGTTCTGGGCTTCCATTTGAATAGGAAGTCATTCTGTGCAGCTCCACTATTCACCTGCAGTTTGGCCTCCCTGTCCTTGCCTCAATCAGTTCCATATCACAGATATCTTGCCAGCTGAGTCCAAGTACTGAGAAGGGGTATTGCAAATGAGGTAGAAAAGGATGAGAGGGAAGACATGGTACCCAACAGTAAGCTGCTATATACTTTTCCTGGCACACGGTGTTTCATATAATAAAACCTTAAAAAAAATACATGGAGGAGTTGGCAACTTCCAGTTCTCTATATGGCTCCTGCCAGCACTTTCTCTGCCTCTGGCACCTTTCACAAGTTCTGGATTTGACCTTCATGAACTGGAATTGTTGTTCTATTGTTCAACCATAAATATATACATACATATTCACACACACACAGAGACACATATATATACACAAATGTGTTCTTTTATGTCTCTATCTTCGACTTGTATTTTTGCTTCCAATACTCCTTTTATTTTTTTTTTTCTTTTAGAGGAAGGTTTGCCAAACACTAAACAGTCTGAGGGCAGAGAAGCACACAATGTGTTTCAGTCTAGCTCAGTAGAGCCAAAACTGCAGTAAAAAATCCTTCCTAATTCCTGAACAACCTCTGAAAAATCTTTAAGGAAGTTCTGCTCCCTACCATGAGCATTGCAGCATCCATGCTCAGAACAGCAGGTAGCTTTTCCACATTTTTTTTCTCTGTAGTCCCTTAGCTTCAGGGCCTAAGTACTAGTCCTTGATCTCACTTGAAGACAGACCTATTGCTATCCATCTGACAACCTTAATTTCTGTTTAGGCAATATATATACATATCAAGCAACAAGATTTGTAGGAGTGCATTGCAGTGGAAGACAGAAATCCCGGGGAAAGCTGGAATCCTGATTGGATCAAAGACATGAACTTTAGCATCAGTATAACTAGATGTATGAGAAAAAGACTTTTTTGGTCATTTTAGAAGCCTCTAAAATTCAATTACTAGCAATACCTTCCTCTGTCTGAGGTATTTCCCACATGATTTATTGTAATACTGGCAAAGGTATTTGTCAGTATAATCCATCACTCACTAACATTTTTGAGTTTCAGGTAAATGATGGGATCACATCCCCAGCCTCTGCAGCCTCATAATGTGCCTTGGAACCACAGTGGGTGCTTTTCTTCATGCATGGCCAGTTGTCAGTCGGTGCCTGGATCTTCTCTGTGCAGGAAGGAGAGGCAGCATTCAGTCAGCATGGCCTGGCCAGCAGGACACATTTCGAGCACAGATGCTGCCCGTGCTCCCCTCACACAGCAGCAGGGATAACCTGTCCCCACTCTGCCTGCTCCTGAGCACCTCTGGGCTGCGTGGGTGCTGCAAAACTGCTGGGCCTTCTTTAAATGGTATCTTTGGGCCCCATTTAGAAATGCTTGTGCTGTAATTTATTCCAAATTTTTCCAAGCCTTCTATTAGAATAGCCATCTGTCCCAACACACAGCTCCTTTTAATGTCCTATTTTACACACAGGTTTCACTTCATGGTGTCCTCAAGGTGGGAAGACTGGAGGCACCCATTCAGCATTTCTCTAGGGAGATTGCCAGGGCGCCCTTTGGCCCTCCCCAAGGCGCACAGAGCTTGCCAGCAGCACAGCTGGGATAAAGTACAGCCCTCTGCCAGGAGCCTGCTCAGCTCTGACTTTCCCTGGGGAATACTACAGCATTCACTAGAGCTGCATGGACACATATTTGCCAAGCTGAAGGGAATACATTTGCTGCTGGAGAGAACCATTTCTCTGGCTGCCCGGATGGCCCCAGCCTCAGCCACTGGCTCTGTCCACAGGCACCCAGTGACACCAGTTCTGGACAGCCTTGCTCTGCTGGGGCCTTACAGCACCCTTCTGACCTTTCCTTTATCAGCTCCCCAGCCAGTTCATCCTCTGAACTCAGAGTCATTTGGGTGCTCTGCCTGTGACTCTCTGGAGCTGCACGTCGTTCTTGCCTTGTCTTCATGTTCATCCATCCGTGCTGAATTATCTTCCACTCCTCCCTCTGGGAATAACCAAGGCTTTGACCTAGTGGGACTGTTTGTGTGCTCAAATGTTTTGATGTACCAGACACTGAGCTGCTTGCTCCCAAATCTAAGGTGGCTGGGGATTTCAGGCTGTTTTCAGAAACAGTGTGCGCACTGGGAAGCATAATCTAACTGAAAAAGTCAGCAAAGGGCACTGACTTGTGCATTTTCAAGTATTTTGTCTATCATCTTTAAACCCTTCTGTTTTCTTTAGTTTCTAAATATCTGTCTTTTCAAGTTTGGGATCTGCTATAGAAGATAACAACTGTAATAAGAAATATATTTAGATTCATTTCAGAATCCTTGGGGAGAAGGAGATACTCCTTTTTTACTGATATAAGATCAAGTTTGTTATTTCATTTTGAAGGCTGTTCTGAAGAAATGGGGGAAATCAGAAGACTAGCCCCACTTTCGCCCAGGTTTTCCTGAATCCACCTTTGGACCACAACCTAAACAAAATTCTGAGTGCAGTTAATGTTTACACCTTTCTTGCACTGTTAATTTAACTTTCAGCAATATAAAATGGGATAGCAGAAATATTTTTATGTGTTCTTACAATGTCCGAAGTTGTTTGTTACTGTTTTTATTAGAAGGAACTAGACACAATCCTGGCTGCCTTAACCACTGCTTTTGAGTGAGCTACAGCTGAGAAAATCCGCTGCCAGGAAGAAGTGAATAGAACTAACAAGGCTATTGAGCTGGCCAACAGATTAGTGAAAGGTCTGAGGTGAGGTCCTACAGGGCAGGCTAATGAAGCAGCCTACAGAAAGCACTTCTTTGTTATACACTACTGATCTGGCAATAACAGAGGCACTTAGCAAAGAACCTGATGAGCTGAAAAAATTATGTCATTACCATTCATTTTTTTCATAATAGAAACATGGTTTTGACCTTTGCATTTTCTTACATTTTTGCTTCATTGTGGTATATCTTAACTGTAAGATTACCTGGTAACTAACTTATCCACCAACATTAAGGGAAGAAGTCAATTGTGGATATTGACAATGAAGGCAATTTATTAAAATGAGATGACTATATTTGTAACAATTAAACAACACTAATGATTCTGCCCAGGATTTGGATACATAGACTCTAATATAATCTGCACTACTTAGTTAAGCAATATGATAATTCTCTAATTATCTTTCTGAGATTTGCAATGGGTATTTCAGGAGAGAATAAATAATGGCAAAGCCATGAATTATCAAAAATCCATATTGTCTGTTGATCCAGGCTGGCTCAAGGGAATCCATACTCACTGATGGATTTTTTCATTTATCATTCATCTACTGATGAGACTGCTTTTTATACACACACACATACACTTTTTACAGATACTTTATTTTATTGCAACATTCATTTAGGAAATCTCTCATGGTGGCTCACTGCCACTACAGTTTTTGTCCTTTTCTACCCAATACTTTCAAGCTGAGTGTGATAACCAAACACATAGTAAACAACAAAAATAGAAGATCCATTTGTTATTGAGCAAAATTATATGGCTGAGTGTAGCTAGTGGAACTTAAAATATAAAACAAGGTTTAAGAGTTATTTCGTGAATCAATAGAAAGGATTTATTGACTAAAGGGGAGGGAGAGCAGTGCAGAAGACCCATTGTTTCTGTTTAAAGAAGCAAGATGAATGCATTTAAAATGTTAGCATCCTGGCTGAAAGTGTAATGTATTTTAGTGATTAATAATGCCTGTAAAACTAAACCATGTACCTAATACAGAATAATAAAATAAATAACATAGCAGACCTCTTTAAAGTGTGACAATAAATGATTGTTCTAATATTTCCTTCCACCTAACATATCATATTGTTTGGTTCTCCCATGTGCCTCCTGCTGGGCCTGACAAGTGCTGGAATAGCATACATAGAGAGATGAAAGGCGAAGTGTGGGTATGCTGGGGGGGGAGGCATAATGAAAAATAATCTAAAGGAGGAAACAGAGATGAAAGGAAAGAAGGAAAGTTGAGCCATGCGCTAGATGAAGACAGTAAAATGAGTTTTAATGGAAAGTCCTTCAGCTAGTACCTCCCAAAGCACCAGCCCCATGAAGAAGGTGGCCAGCTCGACAGATTGGTGATGGGAAATAGAATTCATTCCTGTTGTTAGCTGTACCACACTTGGTCAAAGGCACTAACAACCATATGACAGCTATTTACTGATTTATAGGAAAAAATCCATTTTAATCTCCTCTGTGGTAAACAATAGGTCACTGTTTACTATTAGCAAACAGTGTAATACTGACACTGCTATACTGTCAGTCCTGGCAGTTTCTTTGCCATATTTTTCTGCTGAGAGGACACTCATTTCTCTAGTTGTGTTGTGAGGAGAATTTCTCAAAAAATATAAAAATAAAATTATTCACAGCATTTTTTATAATAAGCAAACATGTAAACATTTCTTTATTAACTGGTCTTTATAAACCCACCTCTACCATGACAATAATAGCAAGTAACCAAATATGGGAGTTTTCTTCTAATTCTTAGGGAAAGTGTTGACCAAACAGCAGAAAAGCTGATCGTGTCTAGCCAGGATCCCAGGGAAAAGCTTGCACCAAGTGTCACATCAAATATCTTACTGGCTTTATGGCATAAAAGATCCTGCCCAGCATTATTTTTTTTTCTTTTTCTGCCTTCTTCTCTGAGCCCTGGCATGCAAGGACTGTTCTGGGTGGTTGCATGAGTAGCTGTTACTCTGTACCAAGGAATTCTTTGCTTCTGACAGGTGCCAATTATGCTGTGGACATCTGCCCTGAAGGCATTGAATCAAGCTGACAACTCATTTTATATCAATCAAACAACAACTATTTTCAATAATTTCCCATCCAGCTGGGACTGAATTTGCACAAGTGATCTATGTATTAGAGACATTACCAATCCACAGAGACATTCAGAACCATGATTATGTTCTGTTTTCCCACAGAAACTCTTGCATCTGCACTAGAAAGCAACAACTTCTTCCACTATGCAGGAGGGTGCTGACAACTCAATTTTGGTCACTTGCTGCCAAGTTCAACTTGCAACAGTCGACTCACATCAGACTGGAAGGAGATTTTTATGCCCAGGCTTGCCATTTGCAAATCCTGTCTGTTGATCCCCTAATCAATGTGGATCTGTGAATCTGCAAGGTAATACTTTAGTATTCACTGCTGTTTAGCTACTGTAATGGGCATTTTTTAACAAACACATAGTAAATTAATGGGAGTTTTAATCCTGTTTTCTCAGTAGAAAAGGAGAGCTGGACTTATCACCAAAGCATTATTAGGAACAAGAGAAAATATAATGCAGAAATGTTCCAGATGGTAACATTTCTCCACTGTGATAGTTTATTTTCAAAGTGGTACTGGCATGAGCCCAAATCTCATTCTGCTTTGCACAGATAATACCTTCTTCACAGATATATATTTTTAAAATACATGGTTAATCACAAAATGCCTGGCACTGATTCAATTCCCTTTTTGACCCATTAAACCGTGATGTTGCTTATAAAAATTCCTTCAAATACTTTATTTAATAGAATACTACATTTGGAGGCAAGGAATTAGTAAAATATTCTGGAATGGACCAAAACATTCCCTGTGCTAGTGTTTGAAGTACCTTTTGCTATCTGACGGGAGCTAGAGGTGACAACTAACCCACAGACCTTGGGAACATGGTTAGCCAGCCAGAGCAGTAGGCAGGCTCACCTTCTTCTCGTGTTCTTTCAAGTGCTGTGCCTTGCTGTTTGCATAAGGGACCAGCTTTTATTATTCTACTCTGTCCCTGCTACTGTGCACCAGGGCAGCACAAAGCAAGATTTAGTGCTTGGATATGGTATTTGCTTGATAGCAATTGTTATAGCTAAGGCTGAGCTGAGACTTCTGTCTTAACCTGCTATTCTCCCATGCTCAGAATATTCTTCTTTTTTAAAAAAAATCCCTTTCATCTGAAATTTTTCATGCTTGTTATCAGCTGAAATATAATTTTTTTTTTGGCAAGGCTGAATAAAATTCATTCATTCATATTTGAATTATGCAAGGAAGTGGGTGTAAGGAGAAAGGTCTCTTTTTTGCACATTCATAATTCACAAAAAAAGCTGCATATTACAAGCTGAAACTTTCCAGGTGGCTAGTTTTGACTGAAGGGTAGTCTTCATGCTAATTACAAAGAGAGAATGACTGAAAGAAAAATGAAAGAGAAAAATTAAAAATGACATATATTGTGATTAACTCATTTGTTTTGTAGGTGTGCCATACAAAAATTACATTGTGAGCCACTTAGAGCAAGTTTAAAGTAACAATTTCATTTAAGTTAAGATGAACTACCATAATTACATAATATCAATGTTTTGTGCTGCAATTTCACTAAGAATCTCCCTACAGAAGCTGAAGAAGCTTTTACTTATGCAAATGTGAAAGCTCAGAGTGAAACCAGTGCAGAATCTTATGAATCATTAACTTTGGCCAGAAAGCCAGTCTGGGGAAGGGGGGAATGGTTTGCAGTGGTAGCAACTGTCCCTATGCTCTGGGTCTCCCTGGCCTGCTGAGGAAAATAACTTGGGGTTTTTGCAGTTTCTTCCAGCTTAATACACTGACTGTCAGGGACAGCAAACCACTAAATCTTTGTTATTCTCTTTTCCTTGCTATATTCCCATATACTTGTGGACATAACAGGCAGCACTTAATCTGACCAGCAATGTGTGACTGACCCTCCATGATAACAAAGGATTGCTTCAGCAGAAGATACCTGGGCAGCAGAAGCTGGAAGTGTTAGAACAGTTTCCTTTAACCCATGGGAAAAAGATACTGTGATATGCAGATCCAATTTCTCATAAAACACCTGGAGATAAAGCACAAGTATATAAATAAAGCAATATAACTGTAATTTTAAACATCTGAAAGAATAACTGGCAATGGTTCACACAGTACTTGCTGACTTTGCTCCATAAGGAGCAAAGATGAGTTCAGAACTTCCCCACTACTAAGTTCCCAGTAACCTACTGGAGGCCAAAGAAGGACTGTTGGGTTCAGAGCAGGAATCCCCATCTTTTTTTATCTCTTGAATTTTGGGTGAAGTGAGGAAAAATACATTTTTCCCAGTGATGCTGCTTTTTTTTTACAAAAAGACAAGTGAGCAAATTCTGAGACATACCAGCTTCTGTAAGTAGACATTTAAAACTTAACCTTTATTATTCCAGGTCCCTATTACAGGAACAAAATGTCTCGATCCAGTCAGTGAGTGGTGGATGCTACAATTGCTAAATAGAAAAGTGACAGCAGTGCCTAGCAATAATATGGCCACATTAAAAGTCCTTGGTCTTATGTTTACAGTCATCATTGGCATAAGATCAAACCTCAGCACTGGGGAAACACTAAGTAAGAGTCACATCTGTTTCAATATATAAATTATCTATTTGAATCAAAAAGGGACAAGTGCTAGTGAGAGTAAAACTGATGCAGAGTTATGAAGGAAACATGGCAACTCTCTTTCTTCTGAATGCCTGATATTGCCCAAGGTGTTAATGCCCCAGTAACCATAGTAACTCTGCTCAAGCCCTTTCCTCCTTTCCATTCATTGCAGTACAATGAATGGGATACTGTATACTGGCATTGTATCTCTTGTTTTTCACCAGCCCTGTACTGGGATGACTCTATAGGTCTGTGTCATACTGCAGGTATTTTTTCCTGGTGGTCCTGTTCTGGCAGAAACTTGGAAGAAATTATTCATCTTGTACTTAACCCAGTACTTGCAAGTTATGTTCAGAGTATTTTTAATAGTCTGTTATTTTCTTCATCAGGTCTCTGGTTATGTTCTACAAGTATTCAAAGTAGCTTCCTGCACCTGTATGATAGTTACATTAACTCACAATGTTTGCAGTGCCCAAAACACGTTGACTCCAGCTGGATTTTTACTTGTCTATTTTTCTTATCTTATTTGCAACCTTGCATGAACTACAGTTCAATGACTGCAATTTGAGCACTCCTTCCTATCTAGCTGAACAATCTTCCCCAACACACCACCATCCTGATGTGTAATCACTCAGGAGACATAATCATTCACTTAGAACTAAAATAATTCTCCTACCATTTGCTCCTTGCCTCCATTCTGCCCTTTTTCTCTGATTTATTGCACTATATTCCTTATGGAAATATTTTGACATCCATCCCCTCTATTCAAGTCTCATACCCACCCTTGGAGGGAGTGCTTTGAACAGAGGAAGGCCAGGATGAGTGTGTATCTCATACCCTCACCCTTTTATTCCAGTGTCATTTCCCCCACCTCCTCATTATATTCTTGAGTCCTTCCCCTCCTTCTAGTTTAGCTGTACCTACTATCTTTCCTAGAGCTGAGTCCTCCCTTCCCTCCCCTGCCCCTCTAGTAAATGTCAGAAAATATTTCCTCACATCCTCTGAATATAGGGATCCTGAACCCCAGCCTTGTCTAAGCTCTCTAAATCACTTGACCCCAAAAAGGTTGCCACAGGACAGCACTTGCCTACAGTGCAGGCTGGAGAGAAAGTGCTGTTAAGGCACTGAATTCCTCCAGCTCTGAGATCTGCAGCTTATTTAGACTGCAAGAAAGAATTTAGTGAGCCAGAGCACTGAATTTGTTACTCGTTAAGCTTAGTCAAAATTACTATGAAATTCCTTAATTAAGCAGCTCAAGCTGAGAAGCAAAATGCTTTCTAATCCAGCCACCACAGTGCCTCACTCAGTCCTGTACCTCTGCCTCTTCTTTCTTGCTGCCCTCATGTTGTCATGTTACCTCATGTGCTGCCTGTTGGTTTTGCTTGCTACGAGTGTCCCCTGACCCCCCTCCACTGCACTGACAAGCAGAAAGCTCTTTGTGCCCAGTATTGACCTGATGGTGTGCACCAGCCCAGCCTGGAAGTGCATCTTGAATTTCTTGCTCCCCCGGGAGCATTTGATTAAAGGAGGATTTTCATGGTGTGTTGAGATTCAGAACGTGGTGCTATTCAGTAGCTGCTGGTGGCAGCTCTGAGCTGGAACACACACTGGGGCTCTACTCCTTCTGTGGTGATAAACTGAGTTCTGGGACAAGGAATTCTGCATGATTTCCCCGCAGCGTGCAGAAGAGCACAAACAAGGCCGTGCTCACGCTTGCTGCCAGGCTGCTGTTCCTGCACTCAGGGACACAGGTTTTACCAGATTTTCAGTGATTCTCCACAGAAGGCTTCCACACCTGCTCTCTAACGTGTCTCTTACAGCTAAAAAACTTGAATCAGCTTCACTGTTATTCGAGATGTGCGAGGTCAGTTTGGAAACTGAGGACATTTCGTGAGTGTATGCACACCTGCAGAGCCCCAGAGCACCTGCAAATGCAGGAGACCTCACAGCACAGAGTGCCTTTTGCAGGCCTCAACAGGCTCAGCCTGATTCACAAACATACACATGCGCTCCTCACAGTGCTCACAGGAATACACAGTCTAAATTAATTTCTGCTATTATAAATCTTGAAAAACTTCTCTGTAGCCCAAGAGATGGCTCTGGAGTCACAACACACATGTGTACAGTTGTAAAGAATACAATCCATAATTTTGTTTCCTTCTTTTCTTCCTAGTGACTGAAGTTTTAATTAATAAAATGTATGGTTACAATGAAGTAGGAAAACAGAATATTTTAAACGAAAGTATGTATTTACTTTATTTCCTATGGTTTAATTTATGGATTTGCAAACTTACCACTTCAGCCAGAACTCATAAAGCAGAAAAATTACTTTAAAGTTGACAGTACATTAGGATGAATTATGGGTACTTTTTTTGGGTTCTGACAGTAATTTGGTATGGGATATTCTTCTGGCTGAGAAGCTGTAAACAAGACACAGCAGCAAAAATATAAGCAAAGAAAAACAACTTAAAGAATCATATCAGCTGTAATATTAATCATTTTGAGGCTGAATTCGGCTCCTTTTGGTCTAAACCACACTAACTGTATTTATTTCATAATCTTTATTTTTCAATTCATTTATCCATGGTAAATATATCCATGTCTATGTTTTCCCTCCAAGAATCACTGCATTTCCATCATGAGGAAAATAAAACTTTTTAAATTACCACAAAACTCTTTAATTTATTTAAAGTCTGCAAGAGGGGAATTCTAGTGCTCCATTTTACATATCATATAAACAAAGCTTTCCCTGGTACATTTTTCCACAACTCTTTATGCTGCTAACTTGTTGAAAACTGTGTCACTGTTTATATTATTAACTGGAGCCCAGGACTACAAGGAGCTGTTGAAGCATTGACACAAGAGAATAGCCAGAACACAGGCACTGCAGTGGATTAATGAGCAGGATGCTCAGACACTCATTTCCAGCTTGGAGTGGCCACAGCTGACTGCAGTGACATCTGGCTACTGGATGTGCACCTCTCCATGAGAAAGTTGTGGATACTGAAAAGTATTTTCCAGCCCTGCGGGATGTATGCTGCTCCTTTTTGCTGTGCTCATGCACGTGACTGTGTATCTTGTGCAAGAAGTCACTGGACACACAAACCAGGAAGTGGATGTCAAAAGTCATTGTATTATTAAATGAGGACTTATATCTAATTTAATTAAGAGATAAATTTACCCTTACTAGTAAGCAAATGTCATCAGGGGATATCAGTTATACTTGCGTATCTTTCCAGTCATCAGAGTGCTTTAAACCTTCTCATTTATGGACAGAATGTTTCTCTGAAATAGGAAAACAAGTTTTTTTCAGGTGATGCATGAAGTAAGAGTTCAAAGGACTTGACTGAAGAGTATCAGCAAGTAAACTAAAAATGTATCCTATCTATAAAATCCTTATGGGAATATGTCATAAGGGTAGTGTTTTTGCACTGGGGTTGCAGGATTTTAGTGGGCAAGGAGTTGAAAATTATGATCAAGACGGCTGGCTCTTGTAGCTTCATGCTTGCTTTGCAGTCTGAATAAAAAATTTGGAAATTATCTTGGAGCTTCGCATAGTTATCAGTTCTGAACTGTCCCAGTGACTGAAAGTAAGATGTTTCAAAGAAACGAGTCAATGATGATCCAGGTGTTCATAGCATGCATGTGTTTGCCTTCTCATGGTGTTATCATCACATAGTCTAAATTTAGACAACCTCAGACATTACAAAAGTCAGTGTTTGCATTGCAATTATAAAATTTCTTACTTCTAAAATCTAAAGATTGCAGAACAACTATTTCAAAAAGCAAACAATAGAATATTTAGAAGAAGGAAGCAAATATTTTGTTAAAATAATTTTTGGGAAAAGCCTTCAAGGATTTTGAAAAAGGCACAGTCCTTCTTTATGACCATGTGGAGCTTAAAGAGTCATCTACCAAGTTCTACTGTCACTGCATTTGGACAATAAACTGTGGGAACTTACAAAATTCTAGGCAAGGAGATTCCCCTTACTTTGGAAATCTGTAGATTTGAGACATATTTTTCCATAGCACTTTGTGATATCATGTATCACAGTACTTTGTGCCATCACTTACATAGGTGAAGTAAAGACTGGCAGCAATCTGACTGCTCACTTTGAACTGAACAACCACATGAGATGCTGACACAGAAAATCACCCTTTGATTTCTCAAGAGTTAAATTGCATCTTCAAACCATGTCAAGTTCCATTTGGAGTAAGCTCTGGTGTCTTTCTAGTGCATTTCTGCCACTAGTTATTCTTTCATTTTTTTATTTCTTCAGATAAGAAATGTCTGCATCCTAGCTGCTAATGAAAGAAGGGCATAATTCTGAAATGCTTAGTCACTTTTATACTTTTTCACTGATGCTGGGAAGAAGTGTTAGAATCCTGTAGTTAACATGATTCAAAAGACAAGGGGGAGGAGAAGGTGGAGAAAGATTATAGAAAATATATTTATATTGCTTCAACAACTGAATTGTTTTCGGTATAGTGTCACGCTCTCAGTGAGGGGGAATTCTGCATGTGTCATGATTCTACAGATGTTCCTGCACACTACATGCAGCTGCACTATTTGTCATGGGCAAAGTTAATAGCAAGATGTTTGTTATGTGTTCCCTCTAATCTTAGTTCACAAAAACATGGAGGGGAAAAAACCCACTTCCTTATAGCTTACTTGCTTCCCTTCTTTATATAGCATTTTAAAACACAAATATTGGAAACACCCATCTTTTGTACTAAATTCTGTAACACCTGCAATTACAGCTCTATTACCTTTGCTAGAATGATCTTGTTCTTTCTAATGTTTATAATGCTAATTAAGTTATTTTAAGTACCCGAAGAGGTCATATTTCTAACAGTGGGGGTTCTTCAAGAGCTTGATCCTTCAAAAGGGAGAATAATTTCTGCTAAGTCCTGAACATGCTCTGTTCTGAGTGCCTTGCAGGTGAAACTCAGAAGCACTCCATATAGCAGCAGAGCCAAGTGCTGTCAGAAATTTTACAGTCAAACTCAGAGGAGCTTTCCTACTCTTATCATTTTAAAATCCTGGATCCTTTCCTGTAAACTTCATTGGTCTGAGGGCAATGTTTTGGAGGGAACCACACGCTTGGGTTCCAGCTTCCTGCAGAGATATTCAGGAAGTAGAACAAGATTTTTGCAAATAGAAAAGAGAAGAGAGAAAGAAATAAAGGGGTGGGGGGGATGGGGGGGGGGGATGCTTTTACTTGGACAGCCTGTAACATGCTGAAACATGTGTTGACTAGTTAGTGGCAAGGGATTTAACTGAAGAACTGGCAGTGCAAGGGGAAATTTGGACTTCAGAGAACAAAATTGACAGCTGAAGTAGAAGCACATCCAACTACACCAAACAGGACAAAACTCAAAAAGAAGGTACAGCTGTAGAAGATGTAAAGAGTGTTACCCTATCACTAAGTGTATGAACAGAAAATAGACGTTATAAATGAAAAATTCAAATTTAATTACTGCATCTCCTACAGTACAAGAAAGATATTAACCTACTCCAGTGGAGGCTATAGCAGGAAACCTGTGAAGGAGAGGCTGAGGGCACTGTGGTTTTTCAGCCTTGAAAAGGCCAAGAGAGCAGGGGGATCTACTGCTGTCTGCAAATACTACACAAGAGGCTACAAAGAAGATAGAGACAGGCTTAGATGTGCACATGGACAGAAAAGAGGCAGCCTGCAGAAGTCAGATCAAGAGAAATTCTGACCAGGGATTAGGAAAAATCATTTACCATGACGGTGGTGAAACATTGGCAGTGGATCCCCAGAAGGCTGTGACTCCCTCATCTTCAGATGACAAGGTCTGTATGTCCTCTTTTGGAGAGTAATCACATTTAAAAATCACCTAGACATTAATATCTATTCTTGTAACATTAAAAAATATATATAGCTACAAGTACAGCTGGAACTCTGAGTTCTTTTAAAACATAAAAGATAGATCAACAGAGTATTTTTTTTTGCCATCGAAAACTCACATTTTCAAAATAAATATACCATTTATGTACAATTGTATGGGAGGTATTTTAAAGCTACTTAAATTTTGCATGAAAACTGCATATATGTAAAATACACAGTCATGTATCAAATTGATGGAAAAGTTCTTGTTTGTAGGAAGCTGATCAGGTAATTTTGGAAATGTATAACAAGTGCTTCTGTTATTAAAGGTGTACATCTGTGAACACAGTATGCCAAAGAAAATGGAATATTGAGTCTTTTCAGAATAATGCTGACAAATAGCATTGAAATATTTAAAAGAGAAGTGAAGATATTAGTTTCCAGTCTTCAGTTGATTAAGTAGCTCAAAAGGTAAATAGGTGTGACTATGACATCTTTCACTCTGTTTCTAATAAATCTCAAATCATATATATATGAGGTCTAGTTGTGTTTGTGCAGAGATCCAGCTTCAGAAATTGTTTTGAACTACCTCATGTAAAACCTACCTGCTAGTGCCTGTCTGTGTGTCTGTATGTCTGATGTATCTTAGATTCAAGTATGTTTCTTAATTATCCTAAACCTTTATCAGGTTACACTATGGTCTCCTGCAGCTACAAGAATTTTTAACTTAGCACTACAAACTATAACTCTCACTTTAATAATCACAGCATTCCTGCTGATTGGGAAAATTATATTGACAATGAAAATCAAATACTTTTTGTTAGCTGGCCTCCTGATGGCAATGAAGAATTACAAGTCAATCAGACTTTGAATTACTCTAATTCAAGAGAAGTTAGGAAAGTGTGAATGTTTCCAATATTTGCTGCTCAGTCATGACTCTGCAGTCATAGCAGGATTTGCAAATCCTTGCTCTGCATTTCACAGACTATTCAAAGTGATTTTATAGCCCAATAAATGTGATTTTACCATTATTGGTAAAAAGCGACAGGATTTGTATTGAGGTGACAGTGTAGGGACTCGGCAATGCTCTGGCTTTTTCTGGGCCTAGATAGATTTTAACTTGGTTTGGTTGTGATAGCAATTGTCCAGCTGTGAGGCACTCTTTACTAGATTTGTTTTAGTTTAACAATAGTTTAGGATAATAATAAATGGTTATCCATTGTGAACTGAACTGCCTACAATTCTAGAATCAGCTGTGGGGAAGAGTGCAGACACATCTGATACAAATCAGCCATTTAATCATAGTTAGATTATAGTGTTACAAAAACATATAAAACTAAATCCAAGTAGACACGAGGCTCAGAAGAAAGACATCCTTCTCCCATGAGTATCACATGAATCCTGGTGGTAATTCATCATAATAATCCCCCATTTCTTTTGAGGAATACCAATATTAAGACCCAAAGGAGAACTGGGGGAATAAGCACAATGCCAGAGAAGAAGGAATTTTTAGTGTAGCAATTCTAACTCTATTTTTAATGAGCTCTTCCTATACTCATTAAGTAATTTTGACTATTAGACTGTTTAAAACACTAATTGGACTAACAATAAATTCTTAGATTAATTTATATTCTTTTGCCAGTACATTTTTGCCAAACAGAAGCCTTAGAGTGTAATAGCACATCATAACATCACCAACATCTTTAAGAACCTGGAAGCTGAAACAAGCACTATAAAGATCCCTGAAGCTCACAAGCACTTTTGGATAGTTGCAGTCAATGCTGCTGTGTTCTATTTTCTCATGGACAAGCTGAATAAAATCAATCCACTGAATTAGTTCTCACTCAAGGTTACCACTCAGGAAGAGGTCAGTGTGTTCGCAAACTGCTGTTTTAATCTAGTGCTACTACTGGCTTACCACTTTCCCTCTGGTCACAGGCTTTTACTGCTGATTTCACAAGGCAGTGCAGTGAGCAAAACCCTCTGAGAACATGAGGCTGAGTGTAAAGAACCCAACTGCCCGTGCAACACTGTCAACTGTCATTTACCTTGGTCTGTTTGAAAGGGTAAAGCTTACTTTCACAGCCCAGTTAGCTCTCCCAGTACAGCATGAACCCTGCACGAGCTCCCATTTACCACCCTGTGTATGTACACCTGTATGTGTGCCCAAGCAGCCCACAGAGCAGTCTTTTGCCTTCAGGTTTTCAGGTCTCCCTTGCATGCCTTCCCAACTCAGCACAGCACAAGGGAATGTGGACAACTTTGTGTAGTTCTGATTGGGTCTCCTTGCTGTAGCTTGAGCTGTTCATGCTGCCAGCTGGCTCTGCTAGTCCCCTGGAAAACTCCCTCATCAGGGAAGAACATCAGCCTGAAATGCTTCCTCCAAACTGCATTTGCTCTGAACCAGTCCAGGCTTCTTTCTTGTTAAAGATAGAAAAGTACAATGGTTTCACAAATTTTATTGTGGCTGGGGGGCACCTCTGTAGGGACAGCCAATTTTCTCACTCTCTACTTTCCATCTTCATCTCAAACACTGGGAAACGCATCAACTTTCAAAGTAGCTCTTCATGTTCCGAGTGCTGCTGCCACATGTATATATTCCCCCTAGAATGAGCTGAATGGAAAGAGTGTTGTATAATGATCTCTCATTTAGCTTAAAGTGTCATCTTTTCCTTCACCGCATTTTATCTGTGAGAAGTATGCTGAGTCTTGTGCAGCTGCGTTCTCGCTCTTATTCGGCACAGATCTTTTCCAAGCTCTGCACCCATACCAAGAGTTTCCTTCTTCCCTTTGAAAAGAGTGTCAAATGGGTACAGAGCAGAGGAGCCCAAAGCCTACATGGATATGAACAGGGACTAGGATGAAAATATTAACCTGATAAAAGAGATTTCTTTGGTTTCTAGTGCGTATGTTCTGAGCTGGAAAATAAAATTCCAAGTGGAGAAGAGAAAGAGAAGACAAAGAAATTCAGATGCTGACCCTACTTGTTTTCAGAGCACAGAATATATACTATACTGAAACATAAATCAGCCAGCCAGTGAATTCTTGCCCAGTATCCTCAAGGTTATCTGGAAGTCAGCTACAAGCATCTTGCCCAAGGACATGTGCAATGACTGACTTCAGCAAGGTGATAAAGACCTGCTCTGGTTGAGGCTGAGATGCTCAGAATGCTCACCACCACACATGGCAGGGCCCTGCCTTTCTCTCTGAGTTGTGTAAGCAAGTTACAGTTCTGCTCAGAAAAAACACACTCTATTATTATTTAAAAATTAACTGGGGTTAAACCAATTGCCATTGTCAGGCATGCTAACCTTTAGAGCACATCTAGCATTAAATCATGGATATCTATAGGGAGTTCCCTTGGATCATTTGATCAAATTATGCTCTTAAAAGTACACTTCAAAAATGTCATCCCCGTGTAGGAGGAAAAGAAAGAAAATAAGGCAATGAAATTAATGGAAATTTGGAGAAATGAAATGTTGTCTCATGTATTTTGACAATGTAGGCATCAGTAGGTTTGCCAGACAGATCAGCTTCAGATTTGACTTGAGCAAATTAAGCTAGTCTAAAGCACAAGCTACTTGCTACTAATTTTCTTAGCTTTTTTCTTTTGAACCATTTTACATGTTTATTTACATTATAACAGCATTGGCCATGCATCTCCCACCTTTGAGGTCATTCCCCAGCCTTTGGGAAGAATGCTGGCATCTGACAGGGCAGCCAATTTATGGTCATAGAAGTGTTTTAAGTAACAAGGTGTACAGGCAGCAAGAGCAAAGGGGGAAAAGATGTGAAGTTGAAGAAATGAGAGACAGCTAAAATAATCAAGTATAGAGAGCAAGAAGAAAGAGCAGTGAAATACCTGAAGGGCTCTGACAGAGAAATCCCACTGCACCAACTGTTTAATCGTTACCCTGCTATACAAACAGCACACTGTAGACACCCTTCTTCGCAGCGATCTGCTGCTGCACCCCATTTCTTTCAACAATAAGATATCAGGCAAAACTGGGCATAGCTTTGGGATCCATAATATTACCAAAAAAGAGAGAAATTATACCCAAGAAAAAATTATGCTAATGAAAAACAAATGCTAACCATCACCAAACCAATACCTAGTCCTTGAGCCACAGTCCCCAGCTGACTTCCATCTCTAGTTTATACAGAGAGCATGATGCCATGTGGCAGGGAATATCCCCTTTGGTCACTTGGGGTCAACTGCCCCAGCTGTTGTCTTCTCAACTTTTTGTGCACCCTCAGCCTCATCACGGCTCAAATGGTGTGAGAAGCAGAAAAGGCCTTGACACTGTGTGAGCACTGCTCAGCAATAATTAAAACATCTCTGAATTATCAACACTATTTCCAGCACAAATCCAGAACACAGCCCCATACCAGCTGCTAAGAAGAAAATTAACCCAGAAAATCTACCCCAGTCAAAACTAGCACAATCTTAAACTGAGTGTGCTGGGCTGGAAAGTTTTTGATGGTGTTGGGATTTTTATTTGTGAACGTGACAAATTTGACTGAAGCCTAAGAAACATTTATACAGATTGCTTTAAAACAGTCTTATACTTTAATACTGTCTACCCTCACACAACATGTTATGATTTGATTTTCCATTATTATGACGATGTATTACAACACCAAATAATAAAGACTGTAGTGAGTTTGGATTGGAGAATATAAACATCAGTCTCTTGTTTGATTTTCCTAAATCTTTTTCTGACCTAAGCACCTAAATATCCCCAGTCTGGTCATAATCCACACCTTGACCATATGGTCCTTTACAAGAAAACAAAATAATTCTAGGCAAATAAGACACTTGCCCATATCCATTTCATCTGCTAGATCTTTGGAGGTACAAACAAAACACTGGATGGGAAGATCTGCTAATGCTGATAGTGCTTTAGATCACTTGATAATCTTTTTCCTGTGATAGTTGTTACTGAATGGAAATCAAATGTATGCATGTTAGGACTAGTAACAGATGGCACTTCTGTTCTGTGAGGAAGAAATAGGGGCAAAGGGGCAGCAAAGTTGAACCTCCCCCCTTCCCTGCCTTACCAGAATTCATTGTGTTGCCCTCCTGTTACAGTTGGCTGTGACTCTTTCTTGTTATAAAGAGATGTCAGAAGTTAGAGAGAGACAGACGATAACCTTAAATCCTTTACTGCATTTTACCAGGATTCTGAAAAATAAAAAATAAAAAAATAAAAGCCAGCTGAGGGAGTTGGAAAATGTCAGTGAGGCATTACACAAAGAACTTGATACATTTGTTGACCTTTCTTCTTACTCCACCCTTCTCCTCTAAGATGGATTTAGTAGTAGTGAGTGCTTAGTGCTATAAGTGCTTTCTTAAAAATAATTTAGATGCTATTGGCTGTCTGCCTGCACTTGGAAAACATAGCTGTTTCAATGAGCCCCTGCTGAAAAGGAAGAAAAGGGGTTTATTGAAATGCCTCCAAAAATGCACCAAAATTTCATTTTTTTCCCTTGTCTGCTGAAACCCATCTTGTTCTTGCTTTTACAGTCTTTTGTTTTATTTTTTTAATTGCACCATTGTATTCAGGGTCTTTTCATTTTTCTCCACTATTTTACGAATGGCGTGTGTGTATTAAGAGCTGAAGGCAGAGATGAGAGGAGAAGTGTTTTGAATTGACTAATTTGCAGGCAAGAAATAAAGCTCTTGTAAGGTGGTCCCAGGGGTATCTTTGCCACGAACACTATTTGAAATGACATGTAATCTGGTACATTTCAAAGGCAAAACACTTCCTATTCTAAAGTATCTTCCTGAGCCAGGGTTGGTTTACCTGTTTCCAGAGAATAATAAACTCCACCGAGGCCAAGGAATCTCCTTCTCTCCCCTCTCAAAATTCCTGTTCTTTTTCAAAGGGACAACTGCAGCCAACAGTTTATTTCTGTCCTATCTTTTGCTGCTCTAATGGCTCCGTGCTCACTACTAATACATAGCTGAATGCACCTCTGGATTAAATGCCAAGTAACAGAACCCAGCACATCCTTGTACAACACAATAAATAATGGTGTGGAGCTCTTGTTGTTTCTTAAAACAGTGGAAATTTTAGGTCTGGTTCTTACAGACTTTTAAAATTTTAAGCATTTCACCATATAACTTTGATCTGGCAATTTCTTAATAGAAATTGTTCCTCTTCTAGAGAAATCTGAGTTCACCTGACCTTGGAATGTTGTATTGTACTCTTTCCCAGCACAATTCAGTGTTTCTAGCCTTGCTGACATACTAGAAGTCTTACACACAAAAGTCCACATTAATTTGTTAAGGCATAAATTTCAGAAAAAAAATTAATTATGTTTAGAATTTTGTCCATACTTTGGTGACGGCTTAGCTGGTCTTATAAACTGACACACTTAATCATCATCTGTGAACATATTCATATACTCTAAGGAATGTTTCTAGATGTGTATGATTTAAGCTTACAATATTCAGACGCTGTATCACATAGTTTGAAAAGATTGTTAAATGTTTTAAATGAGGAAACTGGACACAAATAAACCACAAAGCTTTGAGAAAATAAACACTGATAAATATTACAAATAAGTCCTATTAATTTCACAGCTGTTCTGTTCTAAAGCTCTTAGTTACCGAATAACAAACTCATGCTTTGTGAACACTCTGAACTTAGATCACTATTTCAATAATTATCTGACTTTCTCCTTAAACCTCCATGAAGAGAAATCAGGGTAAAGTGTGTCTACAATAATGACCCTACATTTTAGTATTTTTAAATTTATATTATATTTATTTTTAAAAATAAAAAAACTTCAGTTACATTGATTTTAAAAATTCACATGCTTGTGCTCAAATGTACTGGCTCTACATATTATTTTTTCAATTGTGGACAATGTTAAATAAATTACATTACTTGAAGAGAGATACTGAAAGTTCCTGGATAGAACAAGTAAAATAAATGGATTTGAAATGTCCAGAAAGGAGAAATTTCTAAAGGCATGAAAAGTGAGAAGTTCTCTCCTCAAATGTAAGGTAGCAGAATGTCCAGGATGAGTTGTGCTGTCAGTTTGCATCACCAGTCTCAGCCCTTTGAACGGCAGATTTTGTACTGTGAGTGACCCCAACGTGTGCTGCATTTGGATCTCTACCAAATAGAAGACATGAGAAAATATTATGCCCCACAGACAGGTCTTAGACCTTGATCTTTTTCACGAGGTTCTGTCAACTGTAATTCTTAATTTATGGGAACTTAGCCCAAATGTAACTTGGAACTAAATGTGTCCAGTGTTCACAAAAACTTCCAAAGAAGGCAGGGCTATTCGCCAGTAGTGTTTATCTCCTGGACTGGTCCCTTTATAGATTCTGAACTATTAGATCAGTCTGGACTAAATACTATTACTAAAAATAATGAGAAAACATAACACCATGAAATAAAAGAACTTTCTGCAAGTTAAGTTAGCAATACTACTGGTCCTAGAAATTCTACCACAACCAGAGAAACAAACCAGACCTTTCCATGACTGCTGAGTGCTGTGACATGTTAACACACCGATGGCATTACACACCCAGCACTCAATGTCTGAGGGAAGTTTCAGTGCTTGGCTCAGGCAGCTGCCAGGGGAACACTTGCTGCTTTCTGAAATCAGAGGTAGCTGCTTGTTCTTCTGTGTTTGCACAAGTCATCAACCTTGCATATATACATACATATATATATATATATATGTATATATACACACTATACTTGAGCAACAGATTTGACCCTACTGAAAATTTGCTAACCCTCCTCTGAACCAACTACTTCCTAATGCCAGCATAAAGACTTCTGTTAAACCTCTTTCATTGCCTGTGTGTAATGTCACCTTCAATGAGACATTAATTTATATTTTTTTCTTTAGATAAATTTCTAACATATACACTTCAGTAAGCATTGAAATATTCATACAGGCAATATGTAGGGAAGCCATCAGCAGGAATCAATTGTTTCACTCTGGGATGCTTTTCAGACACAGGAGCATTTTACTAATACAGAATGCCTAGCCAGAAAGCAGCACAATATCCTAGCTCAGCTGATTGATTGAAACTACATTTTTGAGGGGTTTTTTTTCCCTTTGGTGACTCATGTGATGTGGTGCAATTTTAACACTATGTGTAGAACATATGCTTGTTTGAACACTTCATTATTTGGCTCAAAGTAGTACAGTATATTGTTCTGTTTGGGGAACAAGTTTGAATTTACCATTGACTCAGGAGAACTTCACAATGTATCGCTGGGTCAAGGACAGGAAGCTGCAGCAGAAATAGCTGTGGAAAAGGCATCAAAAGAAGGCCAATGGGTTATACTTCAAGTAAGTCAAAGCTCTTCATTACATCAGTGCTGCACTGCGGTGTTAAAAACTGAAGCGTTTCAAAATAACATGTGCCTAGATGAAAGAGTACTAAATAGTGATTTAAAACTTCCTTTGTCTTTGCCACAAGGGAAGCACATAACTTCATCTCTGTATGTACTGAATAGCACATAAAATATGAATTGCAACTATCTTGCATGTAGGGAGTCAACTAACATATTTTCCCAAGCACGATATCTGATTTACTAATTTATTATCCATTAAAAAAATCCTTTAGTAAATAAATGTGTAGCAAAAAGAATTGTTATGCTGTATAATCAGATGAATAGATACAAACAGGGAAGATTGCTGTCATTATGCAGTGTATTGTGCTAAACAGATGCACACATTTTTTTTCAAATATTGTGCAATATCAAACTGCTTCCTTATGTCTGGGTTTTTCTTGTATCAATAAAATGTTTGAAATTTCAAATCAATAGCTCACTGGGAGGCCTATTTTTTCCTCCCTTCTCCCCCCTCTCCCTCCTTATCTCTGAATATTTATTTTGTAGTAAAGTGGTTGGACACATTAGAGAAATTACTGAAGAAAACCAGGGAAGGAAGTCAGCAAGGCAACTGGTTTTGAGTGTGGGGAACCTGCTCCTTTCCCTAAAATACATCTCATTCCAGAGTGGATTTAGGAAACCTCCCATTAAAATAACTGATAAGCCACTACCTGTAACATGATCATCATGCTGCACTGGATAAATTTGACCAGGCAGGCAAACCACCACAGAAATAAAACTTTAAAAATGTGAGTATTAAACTTCTCATTTTAAAGCCACTTGAAACAGTGAAGTCACTAAAAGCCTTTACAGGATATGCAATAGCAAAGCAGAATTAATTCCTTAAAGATTTGTTCACATATGTGACCACCCATCTGTCACCAAAAAAGAAAAAAAAAAATCAAACAAGAAACTACTTCTTTCAATTTTAAAGCGTCACATACAGTTTCTAGCTAAGTACCTGTCTGTGTGCAAGGGAAATGAAGAATTTGCAGTCACTACAGGTAATTACTGTAGTACAGAACAAGAATTTATTTTGGTTTCATCTAGCTTAGTTTGGTTTATCTTGAGATGCACAACCATGTGGTTGTATGTCTCTGGAGTATCTTTTACATATTCTGAGCATGCAGTTCACTGGAATTAGGTCTTCAGCTGATGTAAGTCAGTGAGATTCACTACACAAATTTATATTCCTATGGGTTTGCTTGAAAACATTTGGATCATACATTAGAGGGAAGCATGGCTCAGCTGTGAGGTTATCATATTTTCCTCCGTCCTTTTTAATTTTTGTTTTGGAATGCTTTTAAGGAAAACAATTTTTCTTACTGAGTCTTAAAAGATACTTACAAACACAGGTGTGTATAGGTAGTAGTTGTAGGCTATGATCACAGATATGCCAAAGAAACCTAGTATCTCTTTAGAGCATAAATCTGTACTAAAAGAAAGAGCATCCACCTGAATGCTAAAAAACTCAGCAATTACAAAACAAAGCAAAAAAAAAAAACCACACAAGTTGCTTTTTTGGCACTATATTCTAAATAACCTCGTGAAAATTACGAAGGCTTTTTTTCATTTTCTCTTGACTAGAATAACCTCTTCCAGCAATAAAAAAGGGAGAAATCGCCGGCCACCCGCGCGGCGAAGGGAATGTCACCCCAAGTGCTGACGGGCGCACAAAGAAACCCGCGGCTGCAGCCCCGGCCGCAGCGCGTTCGGCACCAACTTCTGCCCGCGGCTGCGGCCCCGGCGGCCCGGCCGCTCCCCCCGCGCGGCGCCGCCTTCCCCGCGCCCGCCCAGCTGCGCTCGGGTGCCGGGCAGGGCCGGGCTGCACCTCCCGGGCCGTCCCCCGGGCCGGTGGCTCTGCCGGGGAAGTCGTCACCTGCTCGCAGCCGTGCGGCAGCCCGGCCCCGCGGTACCTGCCGTGCGCCCGGGGCAGCCGCCCGTGCCCCGGCCCTGCCCCAGCGCTGCCCGCGGGGCGGCCGGGCCGGGCCGGGCAGCGGCAGCGCGTTCCCGGAGCCAGAGCGCCCCCTGCCGGCCGCTGTCCCGCGGGCCGCGCCGAGGCGCGGGCGGGCTCGGGGGGCCCCGGACCCGGCCGGGGAGAGCCGCGGGAGCGCGTTTGACCCCGGGCAGCGCTGCGGGGCTGGGACGGCGGCCCCGGCCTCCAGGGGAGGTTTCCCTCTCGCAGATGCTCGTGTGGCGCCGGAGTGCGGGCATACGGGACTCCCCGAGTAGGGCCGCACTCCCAGCACCCGCTGCCAACGCCCAGGCACGGGCAGGGACAGTCCGTAACCCGCCCCCGCCCCGGAGCCTCCCGCCCGGGCGCCTGTGTGAGCCCGGTCATTACCCAGTGCGGGAGCCAGCGCGGCTGGAGCGGTGTCAGCGAAACCAAGGCGCATCCTGCACTTTCTTCCGCAGTTTCCACCCGGAGGACAGGGATGTGACATGGGCAGGAGCCAGAGGTCACAGACCTGCGGGGCTGAGGCGGCTCGGCCGACAGCAACCCCGGGCGCCCGCCGGTCGAGCTGGGGTTTGTGCCTGGGGAAAAGCACAGAGGGGCTTGAACGGGCACGCTCCGTTAACTCGTTTAAATGGCCACAAGCACACTGCTCTTCCTGAGGAATTACACCTTAAACAGACTTGGCTGTTTAATAAACCAGCCCTGGTCCCCTGCAGCGGTGACCTCTGATCCCAAGAGCAATGCAAAGATTTCTTGTAGCGCCGTGCCCGCGCTGCTGCGGCCGAGCGGTGATAATGACCAATGGTCCAGGTGCGACGAACTATTTCAGCATGAGAGAGGCGGAAAAGTCCTCTCCCACATCTGTGGGGCATTTGGTGATTATCATGGCAGTGGCGGGCGGAGGGCTCCTGTCTGAAGCCGGCATTTGTCAGAGGGTGATGGGAGCAGGTAGCAAAAAGCTCCTTCCCACCCATGCAAGCCAAGCGCGGCAGAGACGGGTGGTTCACAGCCCCCGTGCTCACCTGAGAACACATTTGCTATCTCACCTCCTCCTCCCCCGCAGCCCTGAGCAAGGCAGGTGTAGAGAGCTCCCGGCGCCACGGGCGGGGGCTTCCTCCCCACGCAGTATGGAAGGAGGCCGGGTGCGAAGGGCGGCAGGAGTGCGGCCGGCCCTCACAGCGGCGGCCCGGCCCTCACCGCCGTGGCCCGGCCCGCACCGCCGCGGCCCGGCCGAGGCTCCCCCGCCGCCCCCTCACCTGCGGCGCCCCGCGCCGGCCCCGCTGCCAGGAGCTCCCGCTGCGGCACGAAGGAGAGGGATCCGAGGAGACAAGGGGAACAAAAGGACGAGATCAGAAAAAGGAATAAAAGAAGGAAATGTAGCGAGCACTAAAAACAAGAGGAAGAATTTTCCCCGTGGGGAAGAGAGAGGGAAGCGCCACTTACATGAGGTTTTCTTTCCCCCTACAATTTCTGCAGAAATTCTGACACTGCACGTGCTCGTTTTCCCTTTCCCAGCCCACACAAACCTGTTGTTGTTTTACTTACATTATTTTACTTTATTGTATTAGAAATGCTGAATCATAAAACAGGGGTTAGTGAAAATGGTATTTATCTTCCAGAAATAAGCCCCACATTATTTTAAAGATCCCCACACTACTGCTGTTATTATTATTATTATCATCATCATGCATCTTGGCAGGTTGAAAGGTATCTCAGAACAGTAAGAATTCAGCAGTAATTCAACATCCCACAGCAGTACTTTAAAAGCTTCAAATAGCATTTTGAATTTTAAGTCAGTACAAGTGTAAATAGATGGATGCACTCCCACATGTCTGTTGTTTTTAAACTTGTGGTGATACTAAAATATTTGCCTAACAGCTTTGAGTTGTAGCAGAATTTCAGCTCATATATACACATGCATGTGATATTAAATTAAACCATTTGTCATTCTTTTTCCATAAAAGACACAATTTGGCTCTCAGCAAACCATTTGAAATAGAAAAAATGATGATAATGATACTACAGCTCCATTTTATTTTATGATACTATATTGATTTTCAAATAGACAATACATGTATTTTTGTAATGGTCTAAAAGAAGATATTCTGTCTTTTTATTTTACAGTCCTTATGCTATTACTTTCATTTCAATAAAGGATGGCATCTTTCAGAGATGCTACCATAAATTGCTTCATTTAATAAGTTGCTACACAGCATAATAATGTTACACCAGAGAGCAGCACTTCATAATTTGGAAGAAATAACATTTTTCTTTTAAAAATATTCCTGTCTCTTTGTTTTTAAATTAAAATTATCTTCCTGCTGTTTTCTTTCAGAAGGATAATTTGATTATTTAAAAATTCCTCTTTTTTTTCTTGCAAGCATTAGACCTTGGGTGTGACATAAAGGGGCTAATTAAAATGGGGAACAAATTAGATTAATTTCCACGGATATAATAGTGATATAAAAGTCTTGTTCTCAACAATGGCTCCATAATAGAACTATTTCATTTATGCCTAAGCAGGTTCCATATTCTGTCTAGTGAGGATTGCCAGCAGTGTCTTAGTGACAAGGTTTTTATTATTTTTTTGACAGTTTGATAGGAAGTCAGTGCTTGCTTCAGGGTTTGCAGTCTCTTCAAACCTGGATTATGAAGGCTACCATAAAAATATGGATAAAATACTACCTCCCCAAACTGCCATACGTTATGGCCTGCACCCCAATGTGGATATTGCTTTTGTAATACTTGCAGACAACATGCTCCATATGCCATTAGAGCTGCAATTCAAATACTCAGTCACTAAGGAGTGACTGCAGAAGGAGTTTCCCAAGCTGTGGAAGACAAGGTCAGTCAAAATACAGGGCAGGCTTCAAATTTGTCATGAGACAGTTTTTGCCTATGTCTATGGGTTTATTTGGGGTTTTCTTCCCCCTACAGACACCAATTTCAATAGAATTAGATATTTTAATACCTGTTTTTTTGCAGGGATTAAATCTGAAATTTGCAGTGAAGAATCTCTAGTATACGTCAGACAAATATATGCATTATTTTGCACCACATAAAAAAAAAGATCTTGCTGGAATGTTACAATATATTAATAGCATTGTGCTATTTAGGATCCTTTGTCAGGTTGCAAAATGCCATTATTTCCAAACTATAAGGCAGAATTTGCTTTTCTTCCTAACAGCATGGATGTGCACAGGTTTTCCTCTCCTCCATTTCACAGGATAAATCCTCCATATCCTTCACCCTATGACATGAAGGCACAGAAATGCTTTCATTGCATAAACTTAAGATACACAAAGTTTATAATTTCCTTTACATTTATGCAGTTTTTATAATTTCCTTTACATGTATGTAATTGTAGGTACAAAAGACAGTTGCCTCATGCAACATGGTATCTCTTGAGGATGGAGGCAGAGCTAGACGATATAAAGAAAAAAAATCTTTCAGAGGAAAGGAAGATCAGATATTGTACTCAAATACCAGCAGAATGATACTCACACAAACTGATTTGTTTTCCAGAATATGAAAGACTGGATCTGCTCATAGATAAGGTAAGGCATTCTCTCCAAGAACTTAACTTAGGTCTGAAGATGTAAGTTTTGTTTTACTAATCTTAGGGGATGCATGGCTTTAAATAGCATCGGTGTAAATGCCAGTAACAGTGTAAGTGATACTTGGGGAAATTATTTCTCATTTAATTTATTTTAAAACTGGGCTTTCATAAACTGCCTATTCCAAACATGTAACTCATCTCCTTATATCAAATTCTTTTAATTTGTGTAGAAAAAAATATCATTAAACAGCTCAGGACACTGAAACCCTCTCTCTGCATACTAGGAAGTAAAATGCAAGACCTCCCGTTTCAGTGCAGACATGGAAGTAAGGTTGGTACATTCTTCTCTTCTGCCATTGCAGAAATTTGTCTCTTCTGTTATAACTGCAAAGAGATCTGGTTGCTAGTTATGGTATATGTTCACTGATGTTTTAGGCTATCTATAGGAGAGAAAGGAGGCAGCTGTTGGATGCCTCAAGAGACCTTCTGATGCAAAAAATTAACACTGTTTTGTATAGATCCCTGCTGGAAAAGGCACATGGTTCAGATTCTGTTAAATGATCAACATCTTCAAAGCCATCATTTGACTGTCATTAGGAGATGGCTGTTAACTGCAGGTGAAGGTGCAGCATCAGCGGCACCCAAGTCCTGGCCTCACTGTGCATCTGGTGAGTGCAGTGAATTGAGGTGAAAAGGACGTAGGTAACTCATCACACATCTTCGGCAATTTTTGGTAATAATATGTCTCTTCAGCACCAACAAAGTGCCGAAGAGCAACATGTAATGTTCTTCATCATAGAAGGCCAAATTTTCATAATATCTAGCAATCTCAAACAGCAATGTACCTGCTGCACTAACATGTTCAATCACATAACTGGGCAACCAATAGCTTCTTAGGCATTGCTAGCAATTTACACAGACAATTGTGGTAAATCCATGCAGAGCTGTAGTTAATGCATAGCGTTCCAAAAGTAGGTTCTGAAAGTCTAATTCATAGAGCTAGTTTTTTTAGAGACGTCCTTTTTTGCCACCTAAAATTACCTTCTTTTCGATCTTTAATTCAGAGTAACAAAACATGGGCACTCAAATAGCCATTAGTGCAAGCAAGCCAGCAGAATGGTAGCTTGATTGCATGTACAATTTTCTGTGGGATATCAGAAAGCAAGTTAGTAATTTGGCCCTTTATCATTTTCTCTCTGTACATATGCGTAGGTGGGTGCTTCCACGTGTATGTATATGAATTACTATATCATATAATTACTTAATGCAATTAGAGTGAACACCCAGAACCTACACTTTTGTTTTTCTGACTGTTTCCCCTTTTTAAAAAATAAATTACTCACCCCAGTGGCAAGAGCCAAAATATTCTTTACACTTGACAATTTATCTACCTTATGTGTTTTTCCTGGGGGAAAAAAAAAAAGCCCTCTATCATTTATCATGTCATCTTATCACAGTCTCTTTGTGGGACGCAAATAGCACACTAATGTTTTCTTTTGTTAGAGTGAGTTGGCAATCTCCTCAGAGATGGAGCAACTACAGACAGCTCTTCTTTTTTTTATAATCTTCCTGACACTTGGATGAGACTGGCTTATCCATCAACATACAGTTGCTCTGTGGTAAGTCAAATGCCAACAGTCATTCAGCATGGATGGCACTTCATGTCCATTATAAAAAAATAGAATTGAAACGCAAGAATTTTTTGAACAAATATCTTACCTTCTTGTGTAACTCAGAATAGGTTTTTATCATAAACTGATATTACCAGTGTTATGAAAAGCAGAAAGAGCCTTGCATTTACCTTGCCAATTACTGCAGACTTTGAAAGATTTCTCTAAAATTTGCATTCCCACTTCTTCCTTGTTTGATTGCTTTTTCTCAAGTTGTGTGCACTGATCAAATACATTTGACAAATGCTTTAGCACTCAGTATCTGCTATGCAGAAGACGAAGCTTAGTTTCTAGTGTTTTTTGGGATCAGAATTTTTAACAATAAAAGGGCACTATTCTGAGGGTGAAATGATCACCAGAAGAAGAAGCAATTAACAAAGTAGCTTCTGTTAAGAACAGAGAAAAGTTTCAGAGCAAGTAGTGGGGCTGTGATGTTTCTGTTCATCTTAATTTAACACCTTACGAAGTGTCCATCTATCTACTCTCTATGACTGTTTTATAATACCAAAAATGAAACTGAAAATAAAAAGTGAAAGCCATCCAAGGCTGGCAAATTATTTACTTGCTTACATACACTCAATTCTCCACTGGTAGCCTCCTGAGTGAGGCGAAGAGCCGCTGGCTGATGGAGCTAACCAGGACTCCAGAGCTGACCAAAGGACAGGAAAGCTCTGCCAAGCTCAAAGTCGGGTAGCGCTAGAAGGCAAAGCAAGCCCACACTTCTGAGATCAGTTCAGACTTCTGAGAGATCAAAAGTGGAAGAAGAAATCTTGTTCAGCAGAGGAGACATTGAGAAAAGCACCAGAGGTACATTGTGGTGGAGATCAATCAGAGCTTTACGGAATTAAATGCTCTTTTAGCTTTGCTTGATGGAAAACTAAACCACCATAGAGATACTGTGATGTCTGTGATAAATATATGTCCTGAAGACAGAAAGCGTTGCCTAGGGGATATAACACAGTAATGCTAAATTACAAGCTGTTTTCCTGAAGGACAACACAGCTGCTTTCTTTAAAAAAATATATGGGGGATTCAAGCTGGACCTTATATTCATGTTTGGACAAAAGAGGGTAAAAGTACCCACTGATTATATAAAAGCTATCTTGCAGAACTAGTAGGATTTAAGGTGACAGATTATCTTTTACTATCAGGTGCAAAATGTAGTGAGTCACCAGGGAGCAAAATCATTGCTGTGAAGCAGTGTTATGCAGCTGGGCTCCAAGACAGCCTCCCTGCTGGAACACAGCGTGTGCAGGGAGGGACTGCAGAGCAGGTGAAAGAGGTACCAGAGAGATTACACATACACAGGACTGGTGGAGTGGTCAGCTGAGCCTGGCTGTCAGTCCCTTGGGTTTGGGAAGGTGAAAGAAAAACCAACAGAGACTGAAAACAAAACTTGAATCACTGTCATGTCTAAAACCCCATAGTAATTGTCAGTAGCAGGAGCTGTAAGCTTCCTCCAGAGAAGGACATCCTCCCTGTCATGCATGCTGCAAAGCATGTGGAGGCCTCAGTCGTCATGATAGTTTTATCCTCCTGTTTCAAACCTCTCTGTCTCTTATATATACCTGACATGCCACCATCTGAGCTATTTGAAAAAACTCCTTTGATTTCTAAGCAGCTAACATTTTAAAGTAAGGTGGGACAGAGTGAGGAGGTAAAGGGAAAAATCAGAATACGTGCACAGTTTAAGCATGTTGGGCTCAGCAAACGTGTCAGAAACAGCAGACACAATGATAAAATGACAGATTGTCTAGCAATCTCAGATCTTCAGTGTATCTTCAGGATAATTTTCTGTGTCTTTGAAATGAACACGAATTCTGTTAATGCTTCCCTTTATAAGCTGGCCCTGTATGTCACCTATTTCATATTTCTGTGGAGGTGTCACCTCTTGCCTCTAAGCCAGCAGTCTCCTGTCTCTGGCTTAGATATACTCAACTATCGCCAGGGCAGATGTGTCTAGTATTTCTTAACAGCAGCATTTTAGGAAACAAGAAGCAATACCACAGACTGCCGAAAAACCCCTCAGCTAGAAAGGTGGGGATGTGATGCCAGAGATCTTAAATGAGGTAAAAAGAAAAGAAACAAGCTTCTGCTTTCTTTTTCAGGTCACAGGAATTCAACAGATAGGGAAACAGATTGTGGAGGAAAGATTGGAAACTTGTGTCACAGGTCACCCAGCTTTCTGGAAATCTGCAAAAGACCAGCAGTGGGACACCTTAACAGAGGCAAAAAATGTTTAACAGAGGCAACAGCTGGAGCAGGCTGAGGTAAGAGCAGCAGTGAATGAGGATTTGAAAGGAGATATCACATGTAGAGGGGATTACGTGAAGGGGCATATAAGGAGCAGAGGATGGTGGGGAGGGAGGGCAGGAAGGCACAAAATACACGAGCTGCCAGAAGAGGGGATGTTCATTCCTTCTTTGGAAGATATTCATGATACACAGATACAGGCTTAGAAACTATTCCATGAAAAATCAGGGTTATGGCACTGACTCCCTCACAGGCTAGAAAAATACAGGCTTGAAAGGAAAAGGCCTTCAGGGTAGGAGGGTTTGTTATTTAGGGTTTTAAACTGACAGAATCTGCTGCTGACTTGTAAGGTGGGGAGGTATTAACTCCTGAGAAGGAGGAACAAAAGGCAAGGATTGCGATCCTGTGAGAAAAGACAAGGAGCATTGCAAGTAGAGGTGGGCTGGTCCAGAGGGGGGGGTTAAGGATATTCATCGAGTGCTTTGAGATGAAACATGCTGTGTGTTCGCAAAGGTGTCTGTCAGTCAAGTGGGGGAGCAACATTATGACAACCTCTCTTCCAGGAGCAGCAAAGACCAAGATTTTATTCCCTGCAAAGCCAGCCAAGAAATTACTGAAATGGCTGTTTTAACAGTCAAAGCTAGCAGGGAGAGAACAAAAGAACTCCAGATGCATGTACACACACATCCATCTATCTATCCATGTTCTCCTTTGGCCTCCCATGAGCCAACTTCCACTTAAAGGGAGTCTCTTACATTGGTGAGAAAATAGGCAGCAAATTATTTTGCTGCTGTAAAACAAAACTATCTTCATTTCAGGGAGGGGTGTAAAATGGGTGTAGTTTGCATGAAAATTTCTGAGTCTAAAGCACATGGAATGGCAGAAAAGAGGTTAGATTTCTTTTGAAGGAGCCACTCTTGTTCCACGAATACCAACTTGCTGTCTTACTGGCTTACCTCTCAAAGAATGGCTGTTGCCGTGGCTCCATGAGACAGACAGGCTCAGGTCCCAGAGGGGCTGTTCTGAAAGCCCACAAACACACAATATTGCTGCACTTGCTGTTTTTCCCTTGTCAGTATTTAATTAACAAATACAAATGCGGAACTGTGCTGAAATTAAAAAAAAAAAAAAAGATAGTTTGGTTTGGAAAAAACTTTTAATATGAGGAAGTTGCTTGTTAAACAGAGAGAAATTTGTTGTTCAGCTGCACTCAAAACACAAGAAAAGGGAAAAAAACATTTATGTGTGCCAGGGCAAAAGAACCACTGTCTTGGCAAGAAACAGAAACATTTGCAAGCTTCTGAGTTAGTATTTGAACAATGGGGAAGAAAATGAACTAGAAAAACTGACTGATGGGCTGCTGAGAAGAATCTTCCTCCCCATGCTGCACATACTGATTTTAGTGTTTTATTATATCCAGATAAGATGGACTGATGATACAAAAAATAATACAAATAATATACAAAAACTGTGGTATCAAGAACAGAATTTATAGTGGCCTGCACTTCTTGAATTCAATGGCAATCAAATGAGCAACAAAAGTATAATCAAAGTACCACCGTTCCTTTCAGAAGATACGGAAAACTCTGTAAGCTTTCTCACACAGTTGCTATCTCAGTATAGGCTGATACAAAATAAAAACCAAAATACCAAAACCAAACCAAGCCCTGAATTCTTGGTTGGAGATCAAGGTGAGAAGAAACCTTAAGTCTGGCTGTCAAACATCTGAAGAAATAGGTTTTCTACTGTTTGCTTTGGTCATTTTCCCTATGGTGGATAACATCAATAAATTACCCTTAATCCTTCATCAGAAGTCTGCCCTTCTTCAGTTTTATCCCAAGTTCCTAGTCAGCAACTTCTCAAACTGCCCTTCACATTTTGGAGTTCTCTTTATGTACTGCAGGTGAAGGCAAGAATTCCCTGTTGCCAAGCTATTCATTAGTATTTCCTTTTAAACCTTTTACTATACAACAAAAATTTTTAAATAATGCCTGTATCAAAGTAAATAATTTTAAATATACATTATTAACTTGGGGCTGGTGAGAGGTAGGGCTGCAACTGTTTGCAGTCCAGGAGCTTTACCGGCTCCTTCTTAGCATGAAGGTGCCAGGTCAGAGCGTGTGTGCACAAAGTGAATCCAGGTCCTTCCCAGCACCTATGATTCCTGACCTTCTACACCCAGTTTGCTTCTAAACACTTTGAAAGCAACAGCACCCCATTCAAACCCTCAGTGTTCCAGCGTTTGCTAAGCAGTACATTCTATTAGTGAACGCTTTCTCTGCAGGTTAAAATTTTCAGACGCAGGTGATACAATGCACTGAGAAGTATTGGCTGGGGGAAGAAAGCCTGTCATACATAGCAGGACTACTGATAATGTGCAGTGCATTACACTGCAGCAAAAATGACTAACATCAAAGCTAAACAGGAATGATTTGTATGGTTGAGACAAGTAGAATAAAATATGTATTTTAAATAAATCAGTTTTTAGGAACACCAGGCACAGGTTAATCCTTTATAAATATGTTCACAGAGTACATTAGACACCAGCCCGCCTACACAAAATGAATGCAGCACACACTCTGATGTATTACAGAGGCAGGATAAATGAGGGAACTCTTCTGTGTTTGATCTGGTTCTGCTCTGTAATTCAGAGATACTGGAGATGGGTGGTGAGTTTCTCATTGATCCCAAAAGAACCAATAATGTTGAATCCTGTGAAATGTAAGCTTTGTAGAGGATTGGAGGCTATGCACGAAGGACATTGTAGCTTTAGGGGCATATTCTCTTCTCTGGAATGTGTGTAACTGGCATTCACAAGAGTCATACATATCCCAGGGAAACTAGACCCTGTAGCTTAGCAATACTTAAAATGCATACCTAGCTCCACAGGCAATTATATCACTCTCATGGCTACATCTGCATCCAGTTATCAAAGGATAAGATTTCCAGTGGATAATAAATTAACCTGCAAATTAATATCTTCAGAATTTTGAAACAATGCTAAATTTGCCACACATCAGCATTTAAAAATGCAGCAGAACAAATTCAGAACATCAATCCAAGTCTAAGATATTTAGATAGAAAACACAGAGCTAGCACATAGATACGGAAATAATCAATTCCATTTCCCCACACACCCCCATTCTTTCCAGCTTTTTAAAACCACTTACTCCAGTCCTTGCTTCTGTGAACTGTATTTTGCATGTGGTGGAGGTGTTAATCCACAGTTACTGCACAACAGGGTTGTGAATTTTAGCTAATGAAAGCTTTTAAAGGCACAATGAAATGCTCAGATGAAAGGCAACAAAGAAGTGCAAAGTATTATTACAGCCTAGCCTAAGTTTTACTGAGGGCATTCTTATGCAGAATGGACACAGCATAAATATGTATTTCAGATGATAAACTCCCTATAAAGGCTAACTCCCACCCCTGAAGCTGCCAGAGGCAAGGGATGGCAGTCTTCTAAGACTTAATAAAGTCTCACAATGTTTTCATCCTGTTCCTACCCCCAGGAGCTGGAAGAGAACCCCTGTATTCATCTGAATCCTTAACAAACAGCATGTCCATCCCGGCATATTGCTGGCACAATTAGATCACAGGGAGTGCAGACTGGGATGGTTCAGTGAACAATTTAAGGCAGAGGCAAATACAGGAAGGACAGCAAATGCTGTAGTCCTAGTTACAGCAGTTTGGCATACAGTAAATTTATAGTGTGCATCTGTATGCTATCTATGGGAGAGTTAAGCAAAGGGGCAGAAATCTGCTTGTAATTTTCCATGATAGTTTTTGCTAAAATCCGAGTAATTGTGCATGATTACAAAAAGGAACAATTAACACAGTCTGTATTTTGCAAAGGTGAGAAAGGGATAGCTGTCAAGAGGATGTGGATGAAAGCACCAGTAACTCGTTTGGAAAAGAACTAGCACCAGAATAAATGTACAACAGCTTACCAGGCAGAGAGGACAGGATCTGCTGTTCTGAAAGATGGTTTGATCTGTTACGATGGGAATGAAGTCTTCAGTTTGAAAAATATTATGCTTCCTAGGTCTGCAAAAGCTAACATTGTTCTAAAGACTGCACCTCTCTGATCAGCTGCTGTTTCACTGATCATAGTCTCAGTGATCCGTAGCCCCCTTCTTTTTCTGCCTCTGTTCAGATAAAAGACTGCAGCTTCATTTCAGTTATTATTTGCATGTTTTTCTTAACAGTTTACTCTCAGCAGCTTCTGATTTAGCCTTATGTGTCCTGTTGTTTGGGAAAAGGCTAGAAAGATAATTTTTAGATCAGTACCTAACATTTTTAAAGTAATAGCAGGCACCTCACGCATGCATCTCATGTTCCACCCTTTTGGTAAATGTATTCTAACACGCTACTTACCTGCTTTAAAAGGACTGGCATGTTGAACCAGCTGGCCTTTTTCCAGCGCTATAGCTTTTCATGTTGTATTCTGCTCCTCCAATTTCTGTATTTTCCCTGCATTTAGCAAGACAAAATGCAGAAGTTTAAAGACACGTAATGTTTATGTGACAAATTCTTGCTGCTAAGTACAGTATTACTGACGGATTAGTTTAATGCAATAGCATAATGTAATTTAATTATAGTAATAGTGCACAGCTACAATCTTACTACTTATGTCAGATTGTGAGACATTCTCTTTTAAAAGCTTCATCATTATTATTTAGTTTTTGATTTAGTTCCACAGTGTCCCCCCTTCCTCCACATATAGTAAATTAATTTCATAGGTGTAGAACAAGAAATATTAGGTAAATTGCTCTCATTTTGCCCTAAGAATTCACAATACTAACTGAAAACCTATTTTGCATCATTAGAAAATAGTCAGACACCCTATGATGAAAGCTTGTAGCCTTCTATGCAGTATGTCCTCAGACCTGCATTCTGCAGTTAAAAAAAATGAAACATCAAAAAATAACACAGGCAAAAAAAAAAATACCATACAGGAGCATTCCACCACATCTACCTTTTGTATTTACCTGAGAGCTTTTACTGGAGATTGATACAATATCCTGTGTTAGCCATTAACTATTTCTACATTCATGTAAACTATTGTAGTTAAGGATTTTTCAGCCCACAGCTTCCACTGATTTCAGCTGTGGCTGACAGCAATTCTCAAAATCCAACCCACAATAATTCCTATTTCTAAAGTGTTTTCTATCTGATGACCACAGAATTTTCTATCAGTGTTAATTTAGCCTCCAGAAAGACAGAAAAAAAATATCTTCAGCCAGCACAGCTGTATGCAAAGTGAACATCTGTCCATTGCCAAATTCAGTTTAGCCAATAATAAAAAAACACACTTTATTTTCTTTTCCAGACTGGATCAGACTGCAAGGGAAAGCCTGGAGAGGATTTCTATGCTTTAAAAAGAGAAACAGGGGAAGACTGAATTTCCTAAGGTCACCGAGGAAACGCATGGCAACGCTAGGAAAAGAACTCAGCACTCGAGCAGCAGAGATACCATCTTCACAGCCAAAACCAGATGGTTTTTCTCTGCAGTGTGACATAACAGCACAAACAGAATTAGTCTGTGGATTTAGTGACAATGAAGTTAAATAAGGTTAATTTCTGAGTGGCTGAGAGATGTTGTCTTTTTCTAATTGCATCATGGCAGAAGCTCTTCTTGCCTTATGTTAATAACAAGAAGCCAGGTAATGTGAATTAGCCAAACCACTGCAAATCACTGCTTTTTAGGGAGGGGAAAAAGATGTACCCTTGTCTTGAAAGTATGGAAACTGCAAAAATACTCCTGCTGTATGCTGGCAGGTTGATGTTCATTTCCAAGCTTGCCCAAGGCTTTGTATGTATTTTCAGTGTATACAATCTTTTAGGTGTGAGGCTAAAGCTACAAAGGGTCTTGGGCTCAGTACTGTAATGCTTGACTCTTAGGGGCTCTTTCATCTTAAGAAACCCCTACCTCCACAAAAAAAAAAAAAGCCAGCATCTCTGCATCTCTGTGTCCAAGGGACCTGCATTTCTGCTTCTTTCAAGGGTTTTGGAAGATGACTCCAGGGTGAGTGGACACACTTCTCTCCCATTTTGACTTCACAATGTGTAAGGGTGTGTGGAAGTATCCATGCCAAGTGGCTCCTTTTAGTACAACACACCAACATAAGGAATAAATAAGTCATGCTAGATTTCCCCAGTCCTTTTAAAGCTTCAACAATGTCTTTAAGAGGAGTTCTGTGCCATGAGAGAGAAAAACGCACAGCCTTTTTCCATTTGATTTTGGGTAGATGTTTCAACCAGAATCAATCTTTTGCAGCAAAAGATTTTAAAAAAATCTTTTATAAAATATTTTTGCTAAAAAATTTGCTAAAAGCTAGCCAATTTAATTGGGTTTTACAATACCAAAGACGACCTGTCACATCTACAGCATCTTTAAAAGCTACAGATAGAAATATAATTATATGCCAGTTCATTTTTGCATTCATTTTGGCATGCAGCAGAACCCCTTTCTCTAGCCAGTCTCTGCTATTGCAGCAACACCCTGTGCTCAGCAGCGACCTGGACTTTGATAGAAGTGGCACCATTTTTACACCTTTATGCCCTGGTGTTATTCATACTGTGTACCTTTTGCTACCAAAAGCCTCTGCATTTCTTAAAGCTTTGTCTCAGAAGAAAGAAATCCGGGTCAAACTCCCCTGCCTGAAAGCAAGCTGGTGGGAGATTTAAACCTTTGTCTTAGCTCCACATCTTAGGTGACTCTTCTGAAGATTTAAGAGTACTATGAAAACATTGTCCTCTTTGCTGTGTTTTGCATGGAACTTTATAACAACTGAAAAGCAAGAAGCTGTTCGCAGCCTAAGATCTAATACAGTAAATTAGGTCACTTCAGCTGCGTTTGTAGCAAGATGTACGAAAGTCTGTTCCTCCCATTGATAACATTGTTCCCTTGCCTATAGGTGTTGGTTTGGAAACAAACGTAGAGCTACAATTTAAAGTGAAACTCATGATTATTCGTCCCTCAGCTATTTTTTCCCCTCTTATTTTGTTTCTAGTTTAACCATTCCGGTGCAGTGAACAACTTCTGCGCTGCTGTGAGCTTGACTCCTAGCCTCAAGATCTCACCCTCCCCAGTGTTGTCTGGATATCAATTCTTTCAACCCCCAGTCCTTCCTCACAGGTAGGAAGCACATCACAACTCATTAGTAATTTACTGCTACAGTAATTTTTATAATTACTGCCAGGAGGCCTCATTAAATTTGATCTAATGAATAAATATTGTATTTTTCAACGTGATTACCAGAACAGCTTAAGCTGTGTGCCATAAACAATTATTTTCCTCAATATGCAGTATGTCAGTGAGTATTGATTTTTATTTTGTAATGAATTTACTGTATTTCTATCCATGGCTATTAAGTAATAAATAGCCAATCCTCTGAAGCCTCAATTGCCGCAGAGCAGATGGCAAAACAGAATTTGGGGTATCTTTTGAAAAAAGTAAAAGAATTCACTTTAGTGAAGATAAAGGGTTTGTCTGGAGGTTAAGGAGTGCCCCAATGTGAATGTCTCTCTTAGCCCTCAAGAAAGCAGCCTGCTCTAGTCTGGAGTCTCTGATGTGTAAGGCTGTGATATAAAAAAAACAAATTAGGATTTATTAGCAGGATACAACAAAGCATTTTATCTCAGAGAACTAGCACATGAACAAACATTGATGCCTTATGTTTCATTTGCTTTTAGAGCAACTGCTCAGATGGAACATTCTTCTAACAGGTTCAAGAAAAATAAAGAAATATACAGTATGCTGAACATGAACCTATAGTTCAAACCAAGGCCGTAAATTATATTTACTTTCCAGCATAATTTATTCCTTTTTCTCAGCAATTGCAGACTTTAGCACATGAAACTGTAACCAAGCAATGAACTGCAACAAAAGGCATGCATCAGAGGAGCTCAGGACCAGGAGGAAACCCTCTGCATTTTTGTCATGTAAGAATGTCTTCTGCACTTCCAGCTATACTGTACCATATTAGATAAATCTAATTCCCTAGCTAAAGCACTACTTAAATAATTTTAAAGCAAATTTATCTACATCGATAAATAGCACTGCTGGTCTGTGCTATCAGATTTTCTTTTAAAACAAGACTTTCATTTAGGGCAAAAGTAAAAGGGTTGTGGGTAAACCTAGGGTCACTAAGGGCACTTCATATACCTGAAAGGATTTACTCCTATTTAATGGACATTTTTGAATTGCATTTTCTCCCTTGACTGTTTAGTTTGAGGAAAGCTGAAAAGTCTGGAGATTGTTAGCTCAGTCTCCCACACTCGGTCTCCACACTGGGACATGGCCTCCAGTAGATTTCCCTGGGCTGAGCACAGTGCAGTTACCAAGCTGTAACTGTGTGTCTCCAGAACAGCCTCTCTGGCTCTCACCAGCACACAGACATTACCTCCAAGTAAAGCACAGGCAATTCATTCTACACAGGGCCTCAGGACTTAGATCCACCTTATCTGCTGCTTTGTTTAACAACATTTATACTTCAGGACACTTAGCATTTGCTCTCACAAGGCTCCTTACACCCAGGTTCCTCTTGTGACAGATGTGAAGGAACCTCATTCTCACCAACAATGGTTGAAAAATAGAGTGCTTTCAGATAGGCTGCCAAACAAAGCATATCCTCCCTCTTCTCACCAGTGGTGGGAGCTGGCAGCAGCTACTGAATGATCTTTGCATTGAAGAGGAGCTACGAGACAAATTCGCTCCCCTCTTTTCATTTTTGGTGCTCCATGTCCCAGAACCACACTAATCACAGCATTGCAGAGCTCAGTACAACTACAGGTAGAAGCACTAGCAACAGTACCCTGGTCTGACACCTCTAGTACCTCTTCTGGCTACAGCAACTGTTTTCTGAGGGGAAAGGTGAACATGGTTTAGGTTTGTAAATGGTTTGCCATTCACAAAATCCACATCTTCTTCCATATTATGCAGCAAGCTGTGACTCACAGGGAGGTGCAAGGGAGCTCAGCAAGGCCAGCTGTTGCACTAGGTATCAGGGAACTCTAAGTTATGGCAGGAAAAACATTTCCTTGTGGGTCCCAATATGTAAAAAGTATAATGTGGTATCTGTCCAGGGGAAAAAAGCTACCTTTCAGCAGTCAGGCTTAATTAGCAAGTTAGGCAAGCCTGACATCAGCCAAACTGTTCATTTCATTCATCACTTTTCTTTAGAACTGGAAAGAAAAATAGAAATCAAAAGCTAGACATAATATTTTAGAAACTGGAAAAACAGGTGGGAATAAAACCAATGGTACGAAAGAGACTACAATATTCTCAACTCCTGTGCACAGCTATAATGTAAAATATACTTACTAGTGAGTATGTCAAAGAAATAGTGCATAATATACTTACTACTAAGTATGTCAAAGAAATAAACTAATTTTGTTTGCAAGGAGAAAGGGTGTGTGTCTTCAGCCTGTGCTTAGTAGGTAAACAGAAAAAAAAAAAAACATTATTCCTTACTGTAAGTCTGCATGTCTTGATGAAAATTAATTGTACTCACATTAAGAACATTCAAGTGTTAATTTTTGTCCAAAGCAGGCTTTAGCTATGTTAGTGAATGGAATTTTGGTCTTGCAACTACAGGAAAAGTGACTTGTTTGAGATCAAACCAGCAGGTTTTGACAGGACACTGTATCAATTCTGTAATGGGCGCATAGATATCATATACACAAGTATATTTTTATTTACTGGAGGTGCTTTTCAGAGCTTTGTAATACCAGTTCTGTTTTCTAGCCACACCAACCATTTAAAAACTAGAAGTTACTTCTCCCAGAAAAAAAACAGGATTACATCAAAGCATTTCAGTTCCTCACAACAAAACTCTGTGCTTGGTTTCCAATACTAAAATTGTAACATTGCAACTTTTTCATAAGAATTAAATAGAAAGGGAAATAAAGGGGGAAGAAAAAGCTTTAGAGTGTTAACTCTCCACGGCAGGAGGAAGCCAGCATGGGCATTGAGCTCAGCACACTCATTCCCTTCTCCCTGCTGAAAGGGACACAAAAAGAACTCTGGCTAAGCATTTATTTTTCTGCTAATGTGAAAGTTTTCTTTTAAAGAGGAAGCAGATTGAACAGAGCACGAGAAAAGAATTTGACTCTGGCTTATTTCCAAAGGGTTTTTTTTTTTCCTGATGATTCACTGTTATCACTTGTATTCACATTACAACTAGCCTCAAAAAGAAATAAAGAAATACCCTAAACCGAAACCAACCCCCCAACACACCCAACAACAACAAAAAATACCCAGCACAAAAGCACTTAGAAATAGTCTTTCCTACTGCTAAATTCTGCTAATAAGCTATATAAGAAGAGGATCATGTAAGATAAGAGTGCCTGTGTTCATTGACATTTGAGTAGGAACATTGCTAAGCCTCTATATCTGGAACTTTAGGGCACATCTAAAAATGGTGAACTTCCATGTGTTAAACAAAACGGTGGACACTGATTGAACTTATTTTACTTCAGCTATATAATAAAGCAGAAACCATCTAAATTTTTCTCAAGTCTAAAATGTTTAAATATTCATTATAGTAATTCCAGTCTTTCTTTACTATCAAATAGGAGTTTATTTGGATATCCAGAGAGGTGATATAAGTGCTAATTCTCTGAAAACATGAAAAATAACAATTTTTATTTGTGGGAGACCTCTCACCCTCAGTCCTAGTGTCAGTCAGTTGTGAAGCTTATATAGCAATTCACAAACAAACCATTTGAAACATGGATATTCAAGCTAAAAAGAGGTAAGGGAAGGCCAAAAGGAGTTCTGGATGTGTATATGATTAAAAGAGAATGAGGATGGTTGCCTTAGGCTTCTGCTACTTACACCTCCTGACACAACCTAGCACATAATTTTGTTCTCTGTGCCTGCAGTTACACTTAGAGACAGGAAAGGATATAAAGCTAGTTTGAGTCCAAACACAAATCTGTAATTTCAGTAGTATTTTATATCTGCTTTCAGTAGATATGTTTTGCCTGTAGACATATTCCAAGGAGGGAAAGACTGTACCAGTAGGTTTCAACACAACTGTAACTACACTTCAACTGATTTTTTTTCTAGCCCAAGGAATCAGTACAAAAACTACTAAAGTACTAATTACAGAGTCAGATGCAATGCCTACTTACCCCATCCTGACCATACCATGACTTCTGGTTTATTTTTTTCACATAACAGAATTTTCTGCCATCCTTACAAGAGCTAGACCAATTCTAGCTGGAAGAAAGCTTGTACCAAACGGCAACAAGAGCTATTTTAATATGACTGCGTCTCTATGCTCTAGACGTATTTTCATACAGATTCAATATCCACAACTCCTTTTAAGTATCAGTCACAATAGGATTCCCAGTTCCCCTCTCATCTTCCATTTTCAGGACTCCCACCTCTAGCACTGATCATTACATTTTTGAGTTCAAACACGAAATTTCCCTACCGTTTCCCAGGTCCAAAGGGCTCATGGGGTTTTTGAGACCCAGGCTTATTCTTTGGAAGAATAGTGAGACCCAGTCATGCAAGTGTAGTGCTGTCCTCTCTCTGGCATTTGCAGCCCATGCACTCATGTGTTATCTACCACGAAACCCAGCATTATCTGGGTGCTGGTGTTTAGGATCCCATAGAGTGGCCAGGCTCTATTTGAGTTTTATCTTTTTACTCATTTGCTTTAGAGGCAAAGAACATGAAAGAACAGTAGGCAGCGTTTCCAAAATCTCCCCACTAGCTCACACCATTAGTTATGCAAAAGCTACATTTACAAAAAGGCCAAATAGAACAAACTGGATTATGCCAGCAGAGGTCAGTGGGTGACTCTTGCCAAGTTTCAGATGCACAGTCTGTTACAGATGGTTTAAAAGACAGCTGAGTTCGGTCACCCTGAAACATTGCAAATCTTTCTTTAACTAGATGCCACCATTTTGCTCTTTTCATTTGCCTGCCTAAGCAAATGATCATGATGATCCTTTGGTATGTTGCCATCTCTGTGCTCTTCTCTTCAAAATAAATTTTTAAGTTGCTGGCAGACAAAATAAAGGTATATCAGCACATGAGGCTAGGAAGGAAGAGGGGTAGTTTCCAAAGTTAAAATTCCATTGCAGTTCCCTACACTAATGTAACTGGTTGAACAGCCAAGTGTGCTGCTCTGCAATGTTCACTCTATGCTTCAGGCTGTGAAGCAATATTGCCATGCTGATTTTTTGACTTACATATAATGAAAAAAGGTTTGTTGCAGAATATGAACATTTTTTTTCCTCAAGATTTGAAGAGACCTAATGCTTCAATGTTTGGCTTAATTAAAAGGCAAGTGGTATGGAGGAAAAAGCAAACAACATATATATTAGTATATACCAGCCTAAGAAAATCTTCTGATAATAATGAAGTTATGACCAATTTAATCAGTAAATAATATATATTCATTATAAATTATTTTATCTGGTTAAAAAAGTTTTTTTTTCAGACCCATGCACAAGATCACCTGGCTCTAAAGCTGAGTAGTGAGGAAATGTCAACTTATGCAGCCTTTTTCAATTATAAATCAGTAGTCATTCTACCTCACACATGAGCTTCATTATTTTGTTCTTCCTTACACAGTGATATTCTATTTCCATGCATCTTTGGTTTTTAAAGCTGACAGGACCTTTTCCTCTCAAGTTTCCTAAATTGCTGCTCATTCACTGCACTTATAAATCATGAGCTCATTAAAACTACTTTTCAGATCCACATCAACAGCACTTAAATAACTGTGGTAGAGGGGCTTGGGGAAAGTGGTGTATTGAGACACATCAAAATCATCACATTAAACAAACATCCTACACAATTCATAAATGTGACTTTATTCTCACATCACGAGCAGTGTGATGAAAGGCACATCTGAAAGTAACAAGGTGAAGATTTTACCAGTAAAGAGTATCTGGGACAGTTCAGTCACTCTGCTGGATCATTTCTTTCCCATTTCCTCTCACTACAGGTTACAGCTTTTTGTGTAACCTTCTGCCACAGCCTCATGCAACTCCTGTCTCTAGATGCATGGCACAAAAGCAGCACAAGTGTCTTCACTATAAGCATGCAATCAAGGCCCCTCAGGTAATTCTCTGCTCCAGGAAAGAGCTCTTGAGAGGCTGCTTAGGAGCTTGTTTGTAAAAGAATAAATAAATTTAAATGGCAGACACATTACTCTTCAACTCATGTCCAAAATTTGATCCTCATCCTTATCAACTCAGGATGTAGGCATCTGGTTTAAAAAAAACAGACAAGAAGCAGAAGGGTAAAACACACAGCACATCTGCCTAGAGCCTGTATTAAGCACTCTGTATTTTGACCATCATGACTTAGTCACCATGTGCTGAACAATTCACTCCAAGCAGCGTGAGTATCAGAGTAAGCCTGATTCAGAAACACAGGGCCAGAGATGATATGATGTCCAAGTCCCACTGATCCTCCAGGTATTATGGGAACAACCAAGTCCTTTACTTCGCAGTGTAAGTTCACCTCAAAGTGATAAAATAGAAGTACAGCTCTAACAGGCTTTTTAAAACCAGTTCAGAGACAAAAATATTCTAAAACTGAAAACTTTTATTTTCAAAATAAACATTTTTGTACAGAACAGTGTAGATCTGAGTAAATCTAAATACAGCAGTCTCTGTAATATAACACAAGGGTCTGCTTTTAGCACAGTACTTTCACACTCTAGCAATCAGAAGGCAAGCCAAGCAATTAGGAGGAAAAAAAAAAAAAACAACCACTTTTATCTGTCAGAACATGTATTTCTAAAATGAGTTCCTTCTTCACAAAATGTACCTAGAGGGAAGAGCACTCTCCACACCTCAGATTGCACAGCTATTCCCACTATAAAAACAGACTAAGAGAGGACAGATTTTCAATAGGAGAGATGATTTATGAAACAGAACTGCAAGTCTGAGACATAAATATCTGTTGTTTCTAAATTCCTCTCTCCTGCCCTCCCACACACACTGATGCAACTCCCAGAAAGGTATGAACTATGGATAATTTTGTATACAGGCAGTGCACATACTGCACAGGCACAGAAGTGTAAACCCATGGCGATTATTCTACTATTCACCTGTACATTATTTAGAGCATTAGATTCTAAACCTTATACAAAGCCTGCACAGTAGTTTCCATAACAAAACTAAGCACATTTAGACACTTTATGGTTCTCTGAATGCAACTTGCATGGCACCTTCTTTTTTACAACAGAGTACAGGAGACCCCTTATGTGCTCAGCATATCAGAAATCTTCAGCTCCATTTCTGCTGTACTTATATTTCACAAACATTCCACAATCACAAAGAGCTAGATACAGAAACATTCATCGGCGTTTTCCTAATAACCAAAATAAACAACCTTTCATCCACTTAAAGATGGCTAACAGCTACATGACCTGCCA